TTTATCATCAGAGACTGATATGAGACTTCTTATCCTTATCCTTCATGTCCTTGCTTTCAAAGATGCAGTCTTAGCTGATCACCTCTGTTTTCAGACCAAAGATTGATGATCTTGTCAATTTTTTTAAATTAGTTTTATCCAGGTTAAAAAAAGACCTTCATATTTCTATAATTCTTGCTTTGGTTATTGATTTTTTTTTCCTGCTTTGACAATGTAGTTTTCCCACTGGAGAGGTGGCTGTTAAAGTGGGGAGCTGGTCACTAATCGCAGGCCTGGCTGTTTCAATTGATACCCAGCACTTACCAGCCAGACTGGGCCCGGACAGAGCACTGATCCCTAAGCTGCTTCCAGTGGCAGCCAGAACCTCCATGCCACTTTAACGTTTGTAACTGCTAAGGTTAGCAGGCACTGCATAATAACACACCTTTTCCATTTCATACTGTCAATTTCTCTGCACCTAAGTACATGGTAAGATCATTTATTTGATGCATAACAGCTTGCACCATAAGCCTGATGCCTGTTTTCTGTTTTCTACCAAAACATGAACAGGACAATAGTTAGCTTTAACCTCAACTGGATTTAAAATCTAAAAAATAAAAAGACAAATGTTTGTCATGCAAAATAACCTTTTTCTTTCTTTTTATCTCATTATATTATTTGTTAAGGGGTATTGTGCCTTTGTCCACCAACTAATTCAACATATATAAAGAAATTTTATTTTAAAAATTTAAAAAGTCAATATCATGGTCGTAGTATCGTAGGTCGTAGTATTTATTTGATGAGGTTTGGTAAATCCTGCAGTTTTCCATGTCATGAATGGAAAAAAACATTACGAAAATATTCAAAATAATTGTGGCCAGCTAAGTTGTAATTATTCAGTTCTGATTATGAGGGGCCTTGTTAAAACTCATGCTTTGATTGAACTGAGATCAGATAGCCTTCCACATTGGAATGCAAAGAGGATAATGGCAAGAGAAGAGTCTCAAGCTGTGGGGGGAAATTGGCTGTACCTTGGAGACTCTTCTGGGAGCCATAGTGAGCAGTGAATAACAGAAAAACCGAGAACAGGTTTCAGCTCCTGTGAGTATTTACATCTTGTACACAGTCACCAAATTCAAAGGAAAAATGGAAATGCTCCCCCCTGTTGTGAGAACAAGATTGATGAGACCTACCCACGGGGAATAAAGGGTCACCAACATGATGCGAGTCTCAATGAGGGACTGGGAGACATTAGAACTCATTAGGTCATATGCAGTTTAGTTTGTCCATCCTGTTGACAGGCAGAAACTGAAAACTGATGAATGTCTTTACCCGTTGCTGTACTTAACGGTTAAAGCTATTTAGCTTGTAAGTGCTGCCCTGAGATATAATCTAAGGGTTGCATTGATGGACAGTTTCACTGACCGGTCCGAAAAAGCCTTCTGGTAAAAAGTATAAAACCATACTTATTCCTCTGTTGGCTTCCATGGAATTTTTGAATTGCTGTGTGTGTTTATAACCAGAATATCATCTGACCAAGTGCATTTAACCAATAACAAGAAGCAAAATGCATATAATTAGATCTACAGCAGCGCTAACTAATGTGCACTGTGACGGTTAACTAATTAAATGAAAGATTGGTGGAATGATGTGACACAGCTGATCACTCAAGTGATAGCACAAGGATGAGCTGGCCCCAGGCTTCTGAGACGCTCGCTTCATTCTATTAACTTACGGCCTATGAACTTTCTGCTTCAGATCAGCTTGTGAATAAAAAGAGGGCACTTCAACAAAGTCAGACGAAGTACCATTCATACGTCTCTTGTGGACACTGGCGTATCCTGTTATTAATGACTTCTGAGTCTTGCAGACCATCTTCTCTACAATACATTTCGATGAGCCTTGTTTGTAAGGTGTTCCTCTTTATATTCTATACAGGGATAGCATAACTCAGATCATTATAATCATATTAGAGCAATTTAATACATTTTTCTAAACATAAATTTTTTATGTTTGTGTCAGAAGCGTTTTTATTTTTTTTTTATTTTTATTTTACTGTAGCTTGTGGTGTTGTTGCAGCGCTCCCCATCAGGGCCGGCAAAATGAGAATAGATCCTCTTCCTGTTTACTCTGTTCAGAAACATTATCCATTGATGGAGAACAGGGGAGATTGTTTTCCTCGGCGTCGTGCATGGAAAGTCTATTAGGCTGTGAATTAGGTGCAGGTTTAACTTGTTAGATTGGTTAGTGAACAGAATGTACCATAACCTGCATGAAAATCATTATCTGCTCGTGACGAGTTCAGTTTTGGGCTGTAACTCTTATTAGGCACTCTTATTACAGCTGCTGCGATGTGAATTCTACCCAAGATGAAACCTAAAAGCAGGCATGGTGATCTTTTGAGGGAAGCAGTTGCCAAAAGTCTGAGTGTCTGGTGTGCATGTGAGAGGAAACACATACTTACAAATGGAGTTAAAATGCTGATGTTATTCTTTTTGGTTTTCTCTTTTGTGCCCTGAAATCCGATTTTCCAACCATCTACCAACACCGATATGGATCTATCCATTTAAAAAAAAAACCTTTTTAGAATGTCCACTTTTATGCTGACTTATAACTAAGACCATCCTGTTGCTGATTCTGTAGAGTGATGGTGCTCTCTGCAGAGAGAACAAAGTGTGAAACTAAGTCTCCCCAGGTGATTGCTCTGTGTGTGTGAATTTCCACATGCTCCTTTACTCACAGCCCATGTCTAATGGGCTCTGACATGATGGTAATAAGGTAGTGATAGATGCCCCCTACATGTGTATGCGAGCCTGGAACCATGCCTTCTGGCTTGTAACGGCCAAGTGTTAGAAAACAGGTGTTTAGGACCTTGACCTCAAACTGGATGTGCAGAAATGGATACAGCCTTTCATGCCGTCTTTCCATGCCAAACCAATGTGAAGAGCCAGAGACCAGCACACCTGAATTAGCTTTGTGTTTGGGGACATTGACATTAAAACAACGAAAAAAAAGAAAACGGACAACATGGATCCAGGTCCTTCTGAGCAGAAGATATTTACATTTTACTGATTTAGACATTCAAAGAAGTCCTTAAATCATCTGGATCTGAAAGTGACCTGCTGACCTGCGTAGTTAACGATATTAACAGCTCTTCTGATTATCTGATATCCAATTCACCACAAAGACATTAAACCTGGCTCATCCTCTGCTGTAAGCATGTTTTCCCTGGGCTCGGTTTAATGTTATCAGTATTTGTTAAAGGCAGCATGATATGTGGCAAAATTATTTTTGAGCTCATTTGCAATGTCGAGCCCATCGTATGCCTTTTTAAAAGCAAACGGCTTCCTTGTAAATTGCTCAACAGGAATGATAATTACAGCAACATGGAGCGTCCTCTGCCCCTTCCAGCAATTTGGCCCAGCATTAAGACTTTTTGTTATGCATGAGATTGCAGTAATTTTTTTAACACATTGCTCGCTTCAAAGTGTTTCTGGTGCTCAGAGAAGATCATCTTTGATTGCTGGTGTACTTTTAAATGACGAGTACGTCTGCACTGTCCTGACGCTGTAGTATGGAGGCTTGTGTTTCAGGGACCTTCGGCATGAAGCAAACAGTTGGTCCTCTGGACGTCTGAGTGTAGGTGAATGTTTACGTCTCTTTGGTGTAACACACTGTTGACTACCAAAGAAGGTTCTGTTTGAGTTCCTATTCAAGCAGTTTATCCACATTTCCATGCAACAGATATCTAAGAAAACAAAGTGTTTTGCCATTGGTCATAACAAGGCGGAAACCTAGACCAACTTTATCTCTCTTTTTTTATGTTGTCTCAGTAATATTTTTCATTTGATTTATTTTGTTACTTCTGATTTAATACAATGTCTTGAAGTACCAACATACAATTCCATGTAATGGTGCCTATACAGGTTCTGATATTTTCTGATATTTACTGTCCTGCCCGGTCTGATTAGAGAGCAGCAGAGCCCTCTGATGCCAGACATTTACAGAGATGACGTCATAGTGATATTTTATTTCTGATCATATTTTATGTCCCTTCAGGATATTTACAGAGGGCTTGCTGTTCGGTCTGCAGCAGCTGGATTGGTTCCACGCTTCCCATAATGTAGCACCCTAGCGGGGCCCGCCGTTGCACCCATCGGAACACAAAATTTATTGGAAAGAGACACGAGATGTGTGATCACTGAGGTTCGGGACATTAAAACCATCCACCCAGTGCATTTGCGCTGGCTCAGACAGCTCCTCCCAAAACAAAATCCAACCACAAACTCCACAGAAACATTCTGGTGTTTGGAGGACACACGATCAGGTTACGTCATGGGTCAGCCTCAGTGCCACGGATTTGATTTAAGAACAACTCCAATTAGACTTTCATCCGTTGCCTCTAATGGTATCCAAATCTTTTGTAATATGTTAGATGTGAAATGTCAGTTGTTCCCATCTCTCTCTCTCAGGCCAGCCGCTGTGTGGTTATTACAGCTTGGTCCGGTCATGCTTTGTTTGACTGCTGTTCAGTTATTAGTCAGTGAAATGTGTACACAACTTTGATGTTTACTGTTCACGCTGGTGTCTGTTGCTGGTTCTCACTGTGCCATGTGTTTCTTCACTCAAAGAAAATGAAGTACTTCTCCCTTCACTTCACTCCTGTGATGGTGGTAGAAGAGATCTGTGTCCTTCATGTTCCATGTTTGTTTGATCTTCCTCTTGTTTGTTCCTTACGCTGGTCACGTGTCAGCTAGGCTAAACAACACTGCCCCCACCATTTCTGGTGGGGCTGCTCCGTTTCCTCCTAATGGTCTCCAAAAATGTACAAGAACATTCATAAGATGAAAAAATAAATGGCAGTTATTTGTGCTCAATCCCCTCCCTTTCATTTGAAATATACTTTCTAAATTCTGTCTGGTCACAACAGTTGATAGTAATGGTGGTTTCAGAGGACTCTCAACGTTGTGTCAAGTGTTGCAACACTGATGTTAATTTCAACTCTTTCTCTGTCTCCACAGCTCCACCCCCCAGCAGATTCAACAGGAGAGTGTCAGGTAAGAAGTGTGGGTGTGAGTTCAGCGAAGTGCGTGTGTGCGTGGAGGTGTTTGACGTCATGTCTCTTAAGTGTAATCCACACCAGGGATGACATTACATACAGCTTTGCTTTAGTGGCTCGCCCTCATTTGTTTGTGTATGATATGCAAATGCATTCAAGGGCAAGTGGTGGCTCTACTAACGGTGTTTAGGCAGAATTTTGAAAATGAGTGTGTTCACACGGTGCTGAGGAAGGTTAACTTTGGGTGTTTTGGGTCTAGGTTGGAGAGCCGTGCTGTTTTCTCACGCTCCACGGTTCCAGTGTAGTGTTTACACACGAGTGATTGAATGTCGTCAGCCGTCACAGAGCACTGCACTTTGGTTAGGCTCTGGGTGTGTCAGCTGATGTTTATCTTTTCTGCCATCTGCTATCATTGTGTCGCCTGCTGTCTTCACTGCAGCCTCGCCGGGATCATTATGGAGTGGAGTAATAAATAGAATCCTCTGACAAACTTCTATTTTACCCGTTTCCTCCTGATGCTTTCTTGAAAAGGGTCCATGTTCACATCCACTGTCAAACAAAGTGGCTCATAGTTGCTTTGGTGATTGCCATGTTGTGTCATGTAAGCAGACATTTGTTTTGGTGATGTTGTAAGACGTAATGACCCTGAGATGTGAAATGTTCACACAGCAACAAATACTGGGCGTCACTTTCCCAGAGGGGCAAAATCTAGTTAATTTTTAACAAATTTGTTATCTTTTGCAGGTGTTTTTAGTGTATTTTTCTCATATGATATAAAATAGAATAAATACAGATAAAACAGAACCGGTAAAGCTTAAAAGAAACCAACCTCTTTCATTGTGTTAACATTACCTACCGGAAAGAGAGTAAAAGTTGCGGATAAAGTGCTTTGCTTTTATCGCTTTTCTTGAATTTAAACACAGCATTCCTCATATAGTTGATAGGGAACAAGATATCCAAGAAACACACTTTCTGCATAACAACTCATAACAACATTGAATTAAAAAAAAAAAAAAAACTCGATTCTTGTCCAGTCCAGCACAAATGTAACAATTTCTCTTTGTAAATACTTGATACTTGATCTATATATATTAGATTGCAAATACAGCACCACTAAATTCACTTTAAACCAGTACCACGTAAATGAAAGATAGAGATGTATTTTTAGAGAGGCTGTTAGGATTTTACCTTGAGCTCGAATGCACACGTGGTTCAAGCATGCCAAACACCAAAGATATCCCTGAACATCATTACCCCTCTTGCTCAGGAGAGAAAATGCTTCCACAGTCAGCGTTGCTTTGTCAGCAGGATTTTAGAGCAAGAAAAGCATTAAAAGTTGGAGGAGGAATGCAGAAACGTTGCTCTTTGCATCCTGTTAATCCAGGAAGGAGGAAGGCTACATGGATGCCGCCACCCTGGGCGGCTTCCTCACGTTAGGAAAAAGGCGACCTTCTTTTATGCAGATTTTCTCCAGTTTTTTGCTCATTTCACAGCGTAGGGGCACAGCCAGCACGGCACTCAGCAGCAACAGGCTGTAGTTTGGAAGTTCTCAAGTTTTTTTTTTTTTTAATTGGGACAAAAATTCCTGTGCACATTCTCTGTTCCAGAGCAAGACAAAAAAGGCAAAATCAGTATTTCAAGGGTCATTCTGAGTCTTTCGACATTATTTTCCCCCCCTGTTTTTATATATAACAGTTACAGCAGCATAAACAGTTTTTTACTGTATACTGAATGGGAACCAAAATGGCTTTCTGCTGGACATCATCAATATTTATGATTCAACCTGTCTTTATTTAAAGGAAATTGACAGTTTTAGTCAGGATAAGAAGAGTCACTTCCTGCCCATTGGCACAAAGACTTTTAAGCTCCTTTGTGGTCTAATGCTTTCCAAATCACAAGATGATGAAGTTCTTTCCAACTATAGGTAAAGTCACATTTAATCATGGTCCAGTTAAGGATGCATGTCACTATCTATCTGCATTGTCCTCATTCCCAGCATATTTAGTATTCTATCAACAGTTTGGGCCTGACCGCATTGACAACAGCCTCACAGGACTGTTTTCATCATTTAGATCCTGTCACCTCATCTCAGTTCAGATCTTTTTCCACTTTGATGTCTGTTACACAGCTGAACGAGACCAACAGTAGCACTGACACAACCAAGAGTTGCCCACACAGTTGTTTAACATTCCCTAGACTGCTCTGACAGGCAGAAAAGTCTCATTAAAAGCATGTGTGTAGAGAGCAGGTATGCCAATTAACTCCTGTTTCCTTCAAAAGGACAGAGCTGTAAGCCACTACAGTCGGCAGAGATGGCATTACACTTTCTCCTCCATTTTCTCATTAGCACAACTCTGAGCGTTATATTTTTGGCTGGACCGTAGGAGTCAGACCGTCACAGCTGGACTGCTGGTAAGCAGCCAACTCTACTGCACAGGCTCAGACACTGGTCCAGTATGTGTGTTTTTATCTGAGGGTTGATGCTATGGATTCACAGCCTCAGTGTGAGATGACACAGTCAGTCAACCAGGTGTTAAATATGCCAACATATGACTGTGCTTTTGCATGTGTAATTTGCATTAGGTTCGACTCCTGCTGTCCATCCAAATTCAACTAGATTTCTAGACCTTTATGCTCATTAGACAGGCTGTGAATAAAGTTATTGCTCATCACGGCCTCCTATGTGATGTCCCTTCTTGTTCTCATATAGGAAATAGTAGGTCCTGGATGTAACTCAACTTCTGTGACTATATGTGTACCCCTTGGGACTCTGAGGGTTGACAATGTGCTGAATGTCTACAGGAAAGTATTCAATGACCTTGGACTAGCAATTGCAGCTGCATTGGATAAATATAAAAAAAAAAAAGCTGCACACTGATTTTAAGGGGGTTAAAAGTTGTGACTGCTGACCGAAGGTAATGCAAAACCAAAGGGAACCTTAGGGTTAGAAACCAATGGAATTCTCTCCCTGATATTGTCAGGGCTGGATGTGAGAGAAAGTTTGAAGGGTGTATAAATCGGAAATTGTTACAAATCTTGTAACTAAACTATGTTGTGTTCCAGCCAGATGACTTTAGCTTGGTAGATTTGTCTGCAAATACTATTTTGATACTCCAGGGCGGCTCTCAAGTTTGCGTTGGAAAATACTGATGATGGCGTTATTCCCTCACAGAGTTTCGAGTATTGTGCCCTGCTAGCTGATAGATGTAAAAATTCTCCCGAGTCAGCTGAGCAGAAAACTTGTAAATCTTCTTCAGCATAGCCTGATGAACCTGTAACTTATCTTGGTTCTATCTGATCTTCATACCAGTAAAGAACACAGATTTTGGATTATTTGCACTAATATCTATTCTGTTTCTAAAAAGCTTTGATGCTTTGTGCCGCATCCCAATAACTATAAGGTTATTGCTGCCACACCTCAGGGAATTGACTGAAATTTTATTAGGATTTTCAGTTTGGGGAGGCATATCGACACTCCTGAGGTCACACTGGTGCAAACATCACCCGAACGGCTCCTGTGAGATAAGGCTTTCCTTTTGCACATGCTCTGAGACGACAGTGTGTTTGGTATGAAATGCCATGTGAGAAGTGGAGTGTGTCCACAGAGTTGAGGAGCACAAATACATAGTGACAATTTGAAATGACCTTGTCAGTATTTGTCTCCGACTGTGGAAAAACATGCCGAACTGCATGTGTCACTTCCTGCGCTGTGCTCCTCCTGCGTCCTGCGGCCCCCTTCCCTTCTCCTGCCGGCCATCGCCTGGTTTGGTGTTATACAATATCTTCTCTCTGTGTGGCACTTGTGTAACTTCTTACCTTTCGCCCCACTTTTAAACCAAGATGATTGGAAACATTATCCTGCTTTCCATATTAACATGAACGTGTTCTGCAATACACAGTATTTTTGTTCAAATGCACAATTCATGTCGGTGGTGAGAAAGATTATGTTGACTGTGAAATACTAAATACATCTCATTACACATAAACATTCTCCTCTATGATATACGCCTGAGGGAAGCTAGCAGAAGTTACATTGAGAGCTAAGTTTATTTAGTTTATTTTACAACTAATAAATTTCCATTACATTGCTTGTTTTAAGTTAGTCTAAGGAACTAAATCTCAGGTGTAATCTGCAAAACTTGAAGATAAATTCTGTCATGAAAATCATAGGATAGGCTCAGAAGACCCCCAATTAGCCGTTCTGCGCTCAGAAAAAAAAAAGAAAACTGAACTTTAAAGGGGATTCTTTCAGGCCACATGTTTAGGCTAAAGATGAGAGGAGCCACTTGTTATCAGCGCTCCATTCAAAAGCCAAAAAATTTAATGCTATCAGAGTTTCTAATATTAGAAACAGTGGAACTGGCCCCTTATGCATCTCTTCTCAAAACGAGCTACATACGTGGCTAAAAAGAAAAGGAGACTTTTCAAACAGCCGGGAAGTGTAAATGTGTAGAATTGACTTCGAAATTTCTTTCAGTCTGTGCGGAGGCCTTCAACCCAGATGACGATGACGAGGACACCGAACCCAGAGTGGTACACCCCAAAACAGACGAACAACGCTGCCGACTGCAAGAGGCCTGCCGAGACATCCTCCTCTTTAAAACACTAGATCAGGTAAATTCCCCCTGAGACCTGAGGCATAACTGCACAGACAAATAGCGAATTATTAGTCATGGTTATGTTTCTTTGAGTATAGAACCCTACATCGGATTTATCTGGCAAAAACAAAGAAATGAACAGAGAACCCTGCAACCCTTTTTTACTTTCTTTCAAGAAGCAATGCAAGTTGTATTCATTTATCTGCTTGTCTCATTGGTAAGAAACGAGCCCTGACCACAGTTTTGGATTGAGAACATCTGGAAGTCATTTTAGCCAATGTGATTGTATCATGAGAGTTCTGTATGATTGAGCAGTGTTTCCCATAAACTGTGTTGTGAACCATGCTGTTAGAGTACCGTTTTAAAAGATCATTTCTGTGATGTTGCTGTACTTATCTATTTTTTCTGTCTGTAAATGTGCACATATTTATCTGAAGCCCTTTTGTATTTTTTAAGCAATGATAATTATGATAGTGAAACATTATTGTATGATTAATCTTACATATAATGATAAAAACCTCATGGACCCAAATTCCCCCCCCCCGCCCCCCCGCTTTCCCTCCCATGCTGCGATGATACAACTTAATTTGATCCATTTCAAGTGAAAGCTTTCAGTGTTGGTTCTCTTTTCTCCTCCTGATTTTTGTCTGACATCATCTGTTCTTCTGCATCCAGGAGCAGTTCTCACAGGTGCTGGACGCCATGTTTGAATTAAAGGTTCAGCCCACAGAACACGTCATTGACCAGGGAGACGATGGGGACAACTTCTATGTCATAGAGAGGTAGGAGGCTGGCATCCCTGCTGCCTCAGTAAAACTGGGTCAGTTTGTTCATGCAAAAGCAGCCTGTTCGTTTTACTGAATTTGGACTTCCAATAAGGTCAAAGAGGAGCCTTTTTAGTGGTGTAATTGTGCCAAAAACAATGACAGAGTGATGGATCTGAGTAAAATTAGAGTGTTTATTGGTAGTAGACTGAACTATGTGACAGATTAATTACAGTAATACATTACCATACAATCTAGCAGTACTGGAGAACGTAGTATTTGTTTTTCATCACAAGCTTTTCTTTGTGGTGGGGTTCAAATAAAATACTCTGTAGGGAAAGGCTCATTAATTTAAATGCATACACGGATAAACAAAACTGTCGCAGTGTTTAAGTGGCTAAATGGATGTCCCATTTACAGCCCTGTTGAATTATAATGTAAAAGATAAAAGACCTAGACAAAACTGATCCTGCGTTCATGGTGAAGCTCATCGTACGTCTGTATGTATGAACATGGTGGAGATCAGCAGACGGGCATGCGTAGTTATCTTTGCAGAACAGGTGTTGTTGTTTCTGCCTACATTTGGAGGAGGGACTTTTATGCCCGACAGAACGTGTTACTTCCAAACGGCTAGCTTAATAAGCTGCTGTGATGGTATTCAAGCTACCATCATATTAAATCATTCAAATTTCTTAAGTATACGCATCATATACGCATCTGGTTACTTTCCTTAAAAATGTATGTTATAGCCGTTTCCCTCTTCCACTTAGAGAAAAGGGGGTTTGTCATTGGCTATCTTACCTGTATAATGAGTTCAGGATAATGTTTTACCTCCTCTTGTACACTGTTTCTCCATCTGCTTACACACTTTCTAACAGCATGCTCCTGTTCCCTGTACAAGACATGCACTGACCTTTAAGAGCAGCACGCCTGCCTGATCATATATTATCCTGGGGTTTTCCACAGTCTGTGCAAAGTCCAAGTCATAGCTAATGTCATCCGAAGGGTGGGATGTTAATGTGGACACAAAGAGATGGAGGAATTAACAAAAGAAGCACAGCAGGAAGGAAACCGGAATGTTGTCACACATTGTCAAAGTGTTTCCTATTTCTTGCTTTTATTAAGTCATAGAACCATATCTAATAGTGGTTAAACAGACGCGGGTGTCTCTGCAGAGAGTTTACTATAAATGGCATGTGTTGAGACGATTGCCTTGCTGGCCTGTCTGCTACTATTTGGCAAGAGCACACTTCAATGAAAAAAAGCAGTCTTGGTCTGAGGCCTATAAGACAGGAAGTAACTGGAAATCCTTCATTATCCCAGAGGGACATGGAGTAGAAGTGGAATGGGAGGGGTGACAGGCAAGATGTGAGACAGAGCTCACCAAATGCTTTAAATTATATTGTCAAATTAAAAAAAAAAAAGGAGCTGCGTATTGGATTCTGAAATCAATGGCACCGTTAACAGCTCTGCATTTTCTCAAACTGATAGCTGAGATGTTTTATCTTCCATGCTATGCTATAGTATGTTGAGTATTAAATATCACTCAAGTTAATGGCCACGGGTCCAATAGTCTGAAAATCATTAAACATTCATACATATCCTCTGTTTTCAGGACACATCCACTTGTGTAAAAGGGTTTGCTTAGAAAATGAGATTAGAAAATTCTTGGGCATCCTCTTACATTGTTTAAGCAGATTTATTGTTGGAAATTTATCACTGAACTCGGCTTTCGCTCCCGCTCTCTGTGTAGAATGAATGGTGAGCAGCGCAGCACAACAGGAACACATAAATATTCTTTTCTAATAACTTCAGATACTGACAGCACAAGTGATCACCGTCCCCACGTTCATGGGAATCCAGTCAAAGTGAGCTAATACACCCCTCTTTGCAGCCAATGAGAGGACAGGCTCTTTTACGAAGTGACTGGTTAATCCCACCAAGCAACATCAATGCAAATTACCCTCCCTATCCATAATCCCCATACAGAGAGAGAGAGGGAGAGAGAGAGAGAGAGAGACAGGAAGGTGGTGCAAAGCCTTATTTTCTGAATTGTTCATCCCTCAGTTTTCCGTTTTTGCTAACTCTCTGCTTCTTGTTTTGGTAGGGGTATTTTTGACATCGTGGTATCAGGAGCATGTGTGGGTCATTACAACAATAAGGGCAGCTTTGGGGAGCTGGCACTCATGTACAACACGCCACGCGCTGCCACCATCGTAGCCACTCAGGAGGGAGCACTATGGGGTCTGGTAAGGACACACGAATCTCCCTGTGAAGCTCCGTTTTTAGCTTTGTCCACTGCAGCCTGTCTCCTTTTCTCCATTTACCGGACTGTGAAAAATTCCTTTCACATAATCTGCTCCACTGAGCTGTGATTCTCAGATATGTTAAGAATGGAGTCTGTAATCTATGAATGGAGCTGGGGCTGTAGCTGGAATGCTTTGTGCTGCTGTAGCGCCCCCCGATGGCCGAATTGAGGAAGACATTGAGTCTGCCTTATTGGGTTGTTTGTTAACTTTTATTTATCTGTTGTTGTTCCTTCCGTAGGACCGTGCTACATTTCGGAGGCTCATTGTAAAGAACAACGCCAAGAAGAGGAGGATGTATGAGACTTTCATTGAGTCTGTCCCCTTACTCAAAACACTGGAGGTGAGGTTATGCCACCCCATGGAGATTTAATGCCGGTTTCTGTTAACCCTCAACGTTCCCACAATTTGACTCCTCTCTCAGTAGTTTTCTTTTCTTGACCTCGCTGTTTTTCTCTGTGCAGGCGACAGAGAGGATGAAGATAGTGGATGTATTAGGAATGAAGCAGTTTTTAGATGGCGAGCGCATCATCGCACAGGTAAGACGTGGCGATATTTCACGTTTCTACATGCATTTGGGACACTGTGTGTTTCCAGTGTGTTCAGATCCGGGTTGTCTGTGTGTCCGCAGGGAGAAAAGGCTGATTGCTTCTACATTGTAGAATCTGGGGAGGTCAAGATCATGATGAAGAGTAAAGTAAGATTGTCAGCCTCCCCATCTTTGTCGATTTGTGTCTGCTCTACATTTCCATTTGAAGCCTTGCATGTGTTCATCGATTCGACCACCGAACAATGACATCCTACACAGAAACCATTAAAACCCACCAGTCTGCAAAAGTGTTTTCTGGTTTTGCCTAGCAACAGTTGGACTCCCAATGTCTGCTCAGCCACTGAGTGCTTCTCACCGGGGGGGAGGACAGGAGGCACTCCAGGCTCCTAACCTTTTATCCCTCTCTCTGCTCTGCCCCCTCCCTGCAGACGAAGGCCGACCATGCAGATAATGCGGAGGTGGAGATAACACGCTGTAGCAGGGGTCAGTACTTTGGTGAACTGGCCTTGGTCACTAACAAGCCCAGGGCTGCCTCAGCCTATGCAGTGGGAGACGTCAAATGTTTGGGTAAGACAAAACACACCAGACACCCATTTAAATGAGGCTTGGTTCTAGTCCTGCATACAAAAATCAATCCAGACGGGTGTGTGTGTGTGTGTGTGAAGTAGGTTTGTGACAACACAGAAAGCGATAAGCATCCAACGTTGGAGCATGAAACTGCTCCACTCGATAGTTTTTAGACGGCTTGTTGTTCTCATTTCCATTCTTTTCATCATTGAACCTCATGCTAAACTGAGAGCTGCTAATAGTTTGTAATGTGATATCAAGTGGCATTTGAACTGCGATTAATTCTTAATGGGTTTTAAACTCATCTGCCATCCACTTGTAGTTTTAGATGTGTGATGGTTTTTCTTTAAAGTGGGGTGCTCTATTTCCGGCTCTACGGTGGATGAGCAGCTCTTTAGTTATGAAAAATTAATGGGATTTTCACAGCTGTGCTTCTGTCAGCTGGCCTCTGTAGTTGTGAAATCTGTTTCCTCCTTTAATTATTTATTAATTTGTCAGTTTGTTTTATTTAATTACAGATCCAATGACAGCTTTTGTTTAATCATTCGGGCTGTTTTGTGTGGGTAAACGGCATGTCAGTTGGCCTCATTATGTGCCTCCATATTTTCTCCTCCTCCTCTCCACGTGTGCTGGTGTTTTCCTGTACACACAGCATACCTGCCAGTCTGGGCTTTCTGAATGCATAAGGCAGAGAAATGCTATTCAGGCATGCTGCAGCAGAACTGGTGTGCTCATCATTCTCGCCCCTATAAACAGGGTTCAATGGCTCTGCCGGGGCCTTTCTTAGGATTTACGGACCATTTAATTCTATTATCCTGATTCTGAAGCAGGCTGCCGGCCTTATTGTTGGTATTATCGTTATTTCGTAGAAACGGCCTCGCTGTTCAACACATTTGTTCTCCTCTGATTTAAAAAGAAGAAACGTGTGGTGTTGGCATGTGCATCTCCAGCCCGTTCCAAAGAATTCATTTGTATTATGAATTCTCTAGGAGTTCACATGAATTGATCATAAAAAGTTGTCATCTTTTTCTGGGTGCCTCTATTCCAGCTCGACCTTCATCCCCAGCTAAGGTTTTATGAATGAGGCGCTCGGCACAGGCGAGCCTTTTAGAAATGATGTCAAAACTTCTTTGGTGCAGTTTGTGGTAAAAGTAGTTTTCTGCACCCTGTCTCCAGGCAGAGCTACACCTGCTTCTCTTGCTGTGATGGCACTGTTATTTATTAGTCCGTAGAGACAAACTGAAAACTAGGACGTCACGTGATGAGCATTCAGGCATGTGTTTGTTAAACCTAAGAGGTGAGGGTTTATTATGTTCGGTACCTGATATTCTAACCTTTTGTTTTCACAGTAATAGACGTGCAGGCGTTCGAGCGCCTCCTGGGCTCCTGTAAGGAGATCATGAAGAGAAACATAACCCACTATGAGGAGCAGCTGGTGGCTCTGTTCGGCTCCAGCATGGACCTGAGAGACTGAGCCTCCCCCACCACCCTCCGTGCCTTCTTTTACAGACACACACACACACACACACACACACACAACTAGACCTATGTCCTCTCCCAGATCGAGCAGCAGCTGTATGGACTCATAAACTTTACACAGATGAAAGTGTATTGGCTCACCTGCAGGTACATAAATCCTCAGTTTGAACACGCTCACCCCTTCGCACTCACTCACACACACACACACACACGCACACACACACACAGACACCTGTGGTAGGCACTGAGAGACACACACTTCACTTAGTCCGCTCGCCCCTGAGCATGTACTAGCTCAACAGATTCCTTGATAAGCTGACTTTGGGTTGATACACTTACACACACACACACGCACAGGCGCACACACACAGACCCAGCTAAAGGCCACACACCTCATAGCTTGAGCCAGCTTCAACCTCTCAGTATGAATGTCTTTGCTGCAGTGACCTTAATACAGGTAAAGCAGCGTTAGGACATAAAGTACGCACGCACTCCATCCACACATCTGAACACGCATCCTCATGCTTCATGTGTGCAGGCTTTCCATTCACACGAGCACTTAACAACTCATGTTGTTCCACGCCTCGGCCAAGGACACATCCACACAGAGGCACTCACACTGGGTTACTGGTACAGATGCTTAGAAACACAACCACACCTGCAAAAACAGACACATTATGGAGACGAGAAAACTGAAAATCTGAAAGGAGAACCAGTCAAAAATGCAAAAAAAAGAGAAAAAAAAGAAGAAAGAAAGTTAAAGTTTAAAGAAGACATAAGTTTTAGAAACATTTTATGAGGATAAAAACAGAAGCTTTGATAAAAAATATTATTTAAATAAAATAAAAAAGTGTTTCCTCTTTGGGAGGCTCGAGTGCAGAACTTTGTGAGCGCGCTCCATTTTCTTCCTCTGCTGTTGGTCGGGTTGCGTTAGTGCTGGTGATTATTGCAGTACCACAGAGGAAGCAGTAAAAACAATAACCCTACATTTTCTGGGCCATTGTTACTGTCATCGACGCCACACTTCATTGTACTGAATTAATTATTAATGTATTGTTATTATATATTCTTTTTTTTTTTTGTTTGTCTTGTTTTACTTTGACCAGTTCTTGATCAAATTCACCATCCATCTCTTACAAAATGTAAAAACAGAAAAAAAAATCTAATAAAACATATTAGTGCTTAATTCTCCTTGATTATCCTTAAATGAGTTGTCCTGGATTTAAAAAGAAGTAAAAAATAAAGTGAACATTTTGGTAAAAGTCTGGCCTCTGTTCTTTGTGTTGTTTTTTTTTCATTTCCACTCATGCAAGGCATTAAAAAAATACCAGTCCAACGGTTTATTTCTTCTGCAGTTGGTGTTTTCAGGCTCCTGGTTTGGCCTGTAAACACAGTTTGTGGTTTATTTTAAAGCCCAACGTTAGAATGTGAAATTTTGTTCTGCCTCTCTTAGCACAAAAGTGTCATTTTACAGAATGACATCACATGGTGGATGGGTCCATAATTTACCCAAAATATAGAAGTTGGGCCAAGTGGCATTTAATCTTTATATCTCTTTTTCCTTATTTTGTGGGACAGTATGTAGATGAGCGTATTTTCCCTAATCTTTTTCCAGAAGTCACTCAAAACATCATCTCTGATGCCTAAAAACCTGAATTTCAACTCCATCAAAAACATATTCATCACATTCTGATAAGGTGGCTATTATTACATATATTTAACCATTCATAACATATTTTATTTACAAAATATCTGTAAAATGGACTAGTTTTTTCACCCTTCCAAATTTAATAAATAAGCTGTAGATATTTCAATTTCCCAAAGTGTTTATTTTATGTTTGACACAAGTGAGGCTGTGTTTGATTCTGGATTCTTTTGAAGATTTTGAATTGTTAAACAACTGAAAAGGACATGTACGAAGAAGTATATGACCCTTAAAAGCAATCACTGCCATCAGACGATCTCTATACCTCACAATGAAATGTCATTTGCAGGTTCTTTGGAGAAAACTGCTCAAGTTGTCACATTTTCTTTTAAGGATGGTGTCTCCACAGTTTCATTCTACGTTCCTTCCATCATTTTCAACAGCATTGGAATTTGGGATCAAAAGAGGCTTTTCAGAATAGACTTAGACTCAACTTGATTTATCCCTTGGGATTACTCCTTCAGGGAAATTCTGGTTCCAGTAGCTTATGTAGAGTACAAAGTGCAGACTTAAATCAAGATCATTATCTTTTTGAGGGACCCACAAACTGAGGGCCTCTGAGACTTCACTGAGACTTCACTGCCCCCTGCACAGATTCATTTCCTCATGGTGGATGCAGCAAAACAGAATTAGAGCCCCCTCTTTGTTTCACGGTCTTCTATTAAAGATATCTCTAATATTCTCTCTAGACTCCTTCTCTGGTTCATACTCAGTGCAGCTGGTAGTGATGACACCCGAAAAAGTAGCGCGGTTTTATTTATTTTTATTTAAACAAGGTGAATGGCTCATAAATGGTCAAAGTTTCTTCAGGGGTGACTTTTTAAAAACTCTTTTGCATACTTAGGATATGTACGTGTAGCTTTGACGGTTGGTTTTCACTTAACTTTTTACAAATTGTGCTTTGTATACTTCATATACTGTGCCAGTATATGAATATTAAATCAATTTTACTATGTGTTGTAATACCACTCCGTTCCGCTGGGGGGAGCCGCTATTTCCCCCAACCTGAGAAAAGATATTCAGCTACATTTCCTCCCGTTCCACACTCCTATCTGCGTTTGACGGTTCGGGACTGACTCCGCAGTGAACTGTGGAGGTTTTGTCAGCTGTTGTCACTTTAGTGAGAATTAAAACTGACCCCGGGTCAGTCGTGAGTGAAACGCATGCGCGTGCACAGGAGGACGAACACCGGCGTCAAACCTCGAGACTAAAAATGTAGGTGACATTACAGAAGCAACGACAAGCGCTTAATTCAGCCGCAAAGGGGAAGTTAAACAAATGGTTCCACCTTTAATCTAACCTAGACCACTACACTGATACAGCTTGTCACATGCATGCCACTGGGGCGCTAGCTCGTGTCCGCCTACCTTAAAAGGAAGTAGAAGAAGAAGAAATCGATGGGGCCGGTCAGTTTATGTTGTGTGCGGCGTCCAGAGCCACACAGCTAAAAATACGACGGCTGCTCCGTTCAAATGACAGAAGAAATGCTGTATTGTAGCAATCAGCATACTTAGGCGGAAATCAATTTTCCATTCATTTTATTCTGCCCTGGAAAAGTCAAGTGAAACATTTCACATTTAACATATATTTTATAAATCAACTTCACTATTAATTTCACTTTTGTCACGTTATTCACGTGTATGCACCATGAATTGTAAATTCTGTATTTGAAAAGGATTTCCTATCAATTAAGGGCCTTGATTTAGTGTATTTTCCAACTGGTGTGAATGTGGACTGTATAGGACATCTGTAATATCAGTCATAAAACATCTCAGTTGAAAACAATTAAATGTTAGTAGGATAAAAAAAAATTGTATCAAGAAATATTCAAACTTCTACATGTCTACGAAGAGGCACAACCCCACGGTCCATCGACTTGTTTGCCTCCTGTTTATATGTTGTCTACTGCGCATGTGCATTATGTTTCTTACATTTTAGGTTTGGAGCTCGTGGGCAGCGTTTCAAAACAATGTAAATATTTTTACCTGACTATTATGGTGTTTTAAAAAATCATTCGTTTTTTTCCTTCTTCATAGATGGTGTAATCATGAACCAAATCTTACGTGTATCAGATGGTCACTTCATCCCTGGAAGCAATTTATTTTAAGTGTTTTGCCTCGTTTTAACAACAAATGACACCACCAAGGTTGCAAGTCTCTTTCCACGTCTCTTCTTTTCAGAAAGTAACACTTTTGAAAAGTTGGAGGCGTGGCCTGCCGTGTTCCCACAATGCATAGCGCGCATTCAGACGCAGTTAAAAACATAAACTATTTCTATTTACATGTTGCTCCGCATTGTTTTGTTTATTACGGCTGTAGTGTGGGAAATCTTTTCAGATGTATTTAACTTTTTCGCCTTTGTCATGCCCACTAAACGTGAACCGCGATAGAGGAGTGTATGGCGGAGAAAGACTTGGTCCCGGTTACAGAGCAGAAGGCATACACTCTCGCTTCTCTTCAAAGCGTATAAGTCTTTCGCCTTTTACTAAAGATTTCCGTGGAGAGGAGCATAAAGAGTATCACTCAATTTTTGCCAACCCTGTAGAAATACAGGGTACCCTTACAGTATCAAAAGAAAACTATTAGTAACAAATAAGATGGGATCATGAATAACTTTTCACTCATAGATAATGTTAAATGTGTGTACCAGTACTTAGTCTTGATCTAAATTCAAAGTACATTAAACAGCATGAGATGCTGCTGTCTGCAAAAACTGGAACAATATATCAAATACTAAAGTGTGAGATGGTCAATAATTGTTCTAATTATCTGACTGTGCAGGGCAGATGGATTGAGGTGAAAAAGGAAGCTATTTTATCCAATGAATATTAGAATTTATACACCATTAAAGCTGGATGACATCAACGGAGATATAACAGTATCACAATATAAGTTCTCTGATGATCACATCTAACCGTCCCCCATGTGAGCCCGCTGTGAGCCATCAGCCACATAGAGCGTCCTCCACATTCTGAGCATCTGCTGAGTTAGTGGGGCTGTGGCGATGTGCAGTTTTTCATCCTAGATGTGATAATCAGTCAACGACCAGTTTCCTGTTGCGGGACGTTGCGTTTGGTAGTCTGTCACAAGTTCCTTACTGTCAGCTTCACGGTCAGCTTTTTAGGCTTCAGCTCGTCTCTCTCGGTGAGTTGCTTTTACTGTATTTTTATTTTTCCATCCAGAAAAGGTTTGATTTAAGGCTGATTGGACCTGTACGGTCAGTCTAAGCGTCCACATGTTGTCTTTAGTTGTAAAAATGTAAAAAAATAGGAGGACCTCAAATGTTTGACTTGGCGATATCCTCTCCGCTTTGTCTTTCTGCCTCTATATGGTGATTTTAAGGCCTCAAAATGATTTGGTGGCATCAAGCGTGAAGGGGAATTTGCATGGATCTTCTTTTTACAGGTTTTTTCTGCCCCCAGCTATTGTTTGATAAGATGAATTCTATGAACGTTCCGCTTCAGCGTGTCTTGACTGACTTTTTGAATGGAGATGCCAACATTTGACGTGATGGACTTGGTGTTTTAAGACCAGATGATGCTCTTGGATGAACCCAGTGGGGCTTTTCATCTGCTTAAATTATGAACACAAGCTTGAATGATTTGCAAGAAAAATGCTTAATCCAGTTTGTTTTAAACTTCGAGTTGTGCGATAACTAAGGAACACTTCATTTTTTTTAAGCAACTGTGTGGTTAAAATGTGTTAGATTACTGTGACTTCCACATTACAGATGACAGCATTTTAAAAAAGACATTCTGATGGTTTTCTAAACCATTTATGCGCTTTATGATAAGTTTTACCACCTGTGAAGGACTTTAAGCAAAGTTAAACGCGTCTTTAAAAGGTGTTCTGACGCCCTCTATTACGTGGGTTTAAATTTGACCGTCACGGTCTTCATTTTCCTGGAACTGGGCAGCAGTTAAACTCCTGTGAGTTCAGCCAAAGATGACACGATGCAGCAGCGAGCGCGGAATTACAGGCAGAACGGGCAGAAAATGACAGCTTTTCTGGGTGGATCTGGCACCTGACGTCTTCGGCCTGCCGCCATAATCACACAGCGGACCCCAGCTGGGCCCCAGAGTTATGTATCTGTAGCATGTAAAGTTAAAAAGAAGCATTTCTCAGTACTCGTATGTGACCGCCGACACCTCTGTCCGCCGGCCGCTCCGATGGCCGGCGGACAGAAACCATATTTGATAACAACATCGGGGTTCCTAACTGGAGGCGCGAAGGTGCAGATCTGTTCGCATATGTCCGCTTCCTCTCACAGCAGACCGTATTGTCTCGAAGTAAGCCAAAAAAAAAGGAGAAGTTGGTCAACTCTGCCTCCACCAGAAGCCGGAGATCAGAGTTGGTGTTTTCACGCTGGGATCCGGCTGTTCCCGGCTCCTGCTTCTGCCTTCCTGTGGCAGTCTGCTGGCTTCCCATGCTGTCATTGGATTTGAAATATACATTTTTAAAAAATGGGGGATTCTGAATATATCCCAGAAATGAGTACGATTTGAAACTAAAAACAAGGTTAAATCAACCTATTTAAAAAAAGGAAATTAATCCACGACTGAAAACTGCTGAGTTAAATGATCCAGTTTTGTTTTGTTCGGTGTAAAGGTGCGTGTTTCACTGGATTCAGCCCCTCGGGTGTGTTTTGGTTTGTATTTTCTTTAGCACAACTGCAAGAAGAGAAAGAGGAGGGTGAAGGTTATGGTCCAGAGAGAAAAGATTAGAGGCAGATCAACACTCCACTTTTATCCTCCTGCATGTGTCTCCTTTTACAGCAGATAGATGGAGGCTGTGAGGAAACACCGACTGGGCCTTTAACCCTGACGTCCCACAAAAAAAAGTCCTTTATTCAGTGGACTTTGAGTCCGAGCCTTGTTCTGTAACTTATATCTTTAAACACGCATTTGTGGAAGTTGAAAGAAGTCTGACTTGAGCCCTGGTCGTCGCAGGTCTGAACCCAAACTAGCCTCATCGGCGCCCATCGGCGCGTCGGCGCCCGACGGGGAGGCCGAGGCCGAGCCGAGGAATGTCCGGGCGGTGCCCATCCACCAGCGGCCGGACCTGCTGGTGCCCTGCGCCGACCTGGTCAACTCGGAGTGGCCGCGGAGCCGGGCGGCCCGCGTCCACTCCCTCCAGAAGTCCTGCCCGGAGTTCCCGCTCTGCCTGGTCCTGCTGCGGGGCCCCGGGGGGGCCGAGACGCTGCTGGGCCACGCCCGGCTGTCCAGGGTGGTGGCCGACGGCCGCAGCCTGTTCGTGGAGTCGGTGGTGGTGTCCAGGGAGGAGCGGGGCAGGGGCCACGGCCGGACCCTGATGGAGGAGGCGGAGCGCTACGCCAGGAGGCGGGGCTTCCGCCGCCTGTGCCTGACCACGCACGACAAGCAGCGCTTCTACGCCCGCCTGGGATACGTGCCGTCCGCCCCGGTGCAGAGCGCGGGCGCCGTGATGGCGCTCGTCCCCATGGCGATGCTCCTGAGGCTGTCCAGAGCCCCGGAGGAAGAGGCCAAAGCAGCAGAAGGTCCAGAGGCAGAGGCTCCAGACTCAGGGACACTCAGAGACTCTCCACCTGTTGGTTTACCTCCTCCTCCTCCTCCTCCACCACCTCCACCTCCTCCTCCCTCCATCCCACCACCCCCGCCTCCCTCCATCCCTCCACCTCCCTCCATCCCTCCACCTCCCTCCATCCCTCCTCCTCCACCGTCCGCAGAGCTGCCCGTAGTTCAAACTCTGTCCGAGACCCCCTACAGAGACGCCAAAGGAGTTCCCATCTTCTGGATGCACAAGGATATTTGACAGTCACACACACACACGTCACAACGCCAGCACAAAGAAGCGCACGCAGACACTCCCAGCTGCCAAACAACGCCAAAAAAGACAAAGAAAAAGACTCTGGGGTCGCCCGGAGGAATGTTGAAGGAAATGACAATAGAGATAGTCAAAGTTACCTCGAATGTGCCTTGTTCAGCCTAAAAAAAAAAGAAGAAATTTGTTGTTTGAAGAGTTTAAATGACTTGGTGTGTGATAACATTTTTAAAAAGCTAATATGATGGAAATAAAGAGACTTTCATAATGTTTTTTTGATTTATGTTTCTTTCTGTTTTTTCTCTATATTTGGCTATTTTGCAAATGATTGAGATGATTTGAGATATTAAGGTGTTTAAGTCTTCAGGGGAAAATGGAAGTGAGAAAATCGTGCAGTTTAAATCCACCCATCACTCTCTTGTTAGTGTTTCGTGTGGATGTGGGTGCTCTTAGTCATTTTTTTCAAAGTAGTTCACTACTATAGCTCCACCGGTTCATCAGAGGCAAACTCACAAAACAACCAGTGTTGGGAAACGCTGCTTCAGGCTTGACTGTTTTGGTTTTTTATCATCCTCCTGAGCTCTGTTCTCATCAATAGGAAAGCCGCCGTACAGAATTCTCCAATGATTTTTCTGCCTTTTATTGGCAGGAACGTTAGGCCACAAACAACGGGATTCATTTCGGAAAGTTTTTTTAAAAACTTTGTCCCTTCTTTTATTCCCTGCCTCTGAGTAATGTTGTCCACGCTGGTACTCTCACCATGTTTTTTTCTATTCACATTAAAACTTCTGGATGAAGTGGATTCTTTACAGTGGTTGGCGAGCACTTCTCTTATAGGTTTCCTGGAAACAGCATATTTGATGCCCTGACATTTCGGACAGATTACTGATCAATGAAGTTTTAATAAAAAAAAAAACATTTTCTGACTTTTTCTTTCCCCCTGCAGACAACTTGAATTCAGGATTTACAATTTTACATTTAAAAAAAAGTTTTTTAACTATGTAGAAGCCATTTTTAGCAACAAAAAACAACTATTCAGTCGCCCAGCTGAATGCAGAAAAGTCCCTGAACAGTAGATGATCCGGAATGGTCTGTGTGTCCCGTCAGGAAGCGCACATGGAGGCGGGAGCGGCCATGGCGCTGTCTCAGCTCCTCGTCTTCCTCACGGCTCGGCTCTGCTGCGCCTCCCCGCCGGCGGCGGGTCCCGTCCTGCAGGAGCGGCCCTTCGTGGTGGTGTGGAACATGCCCACGGCCAACTGTCAGAGGCGCCACGCCGTCCGGCTGGACCTGGAGCCATACGGGATCCTGGAGAACAAGAGGCAGCACTTCCAGGGACAGGTGAGTCCACGTCAGTTTAGACAGAACCACAAGAAAAAGGCTAAAAAACGGCTGTTGTCATCCTCCAGAAAATGACCATCTTCTATCGGGACCGTTTGGGGGCGTATCCGTACCTCTCCCGGGACGGCCGGACGGTGAACGGAGGCCTCCCCCAGCGGGCCGACCTGGCCGCCCACCTGGCCCTGGCGGAGTCGCAGATCTCCGTCCCGCTGCGGCCGAACTTCTCCGGCCTGGCGGTCATCGACTGGGAGGAGTGGCAGCCCCTCTGGGCCGGCAACTTCGGGTCAAAGATGAAATACCGCAGGCTGTCCAAACGGCTGGTGAGGCGGGAGAGGCCGGATCTGACCGAGACGGCCGTGAAGTCTCTGGCAAAGCGGGCTTTTGAGGAGGGCGCCCGCAGGTTTCTGGAGGAGACGCTGCGCCTCGCCGTCAGACGCCGCCCCAAAGGATTCTGGGGCTTTTATGGGTTCCCCTTCTGCTTTAACAAAAACAAGAGAAAGACAGGTAAGGGAAGCCTCACCTGCTTGACGCAGATAGAATAAACATGGTTTCCACGGTGCATGTGGGTTTAATGTAGTTTTAAATTCACGTTGAAAAGGTTTAAGCTTGACAAAAGAGACGATTAAAAACTGTGTCTTGTGTTTTTGAGCAGATAAAATCTACACAGGGCGCTGCCACAAGGGGACCAGGCAGCAAAACGACCAACTGTCCTGGCTTTGGGATCAGTCCACAGCTCTTTACCCGAGCATCTACCTGCCCCCCGGGCTGGCGGGGTCCGAGGATGCAGCTCTGATGGTCAGGTACGAACCAGTATTTCAACATTTTCTTTCACCCATCACCCCAATATTAAAAACCGGGATAAAGACCTGTTCAGACGGCCGTAACCGATGTCCATTTCTGTCTTTATTTGCACTCAGACACCGACTTCTGGAGGCATTGAGGGTGGCGTCGCTTTATCGCCATGGCAACAGCACCGCTCATGCCACCCCCGTCCTTCCTTATGCCCGGCTGGCGTTCACACACACTCTCAACTTTCTCAATAAGGTGGAGCCTCACAAATCTGTTCAGAACAGCTGAAAATCCTGAAGGCTGTGAACGCCTCGTTCAGAGTGGATCCAGCTCTTAGCCTGACAGAGTTTGCTGTGTTTGGGCAGACGGACCTGGAGCACACACTGGGGGAGGCCGCATCACTGGGGGCAGCCGGAGTCGTGCTGTGGGGGGAGCTGAAATTTGCCAAATCCAGGGTGTGTGACTTTTAGTGGAAAAACTAAATAATAAAATAAGGAGAGTGGTCGTGCCTGTGTGTAACAGCTTCATCTTCTTCCACTCCCCAGAAGCAGTGCCTTCTCCTCAGAGACTACGTCCGCAGCGTTCTGGGCCCCTTCGTCCAGTCCCTCCGGTCAGACGCGCAGCGCTGCAGCCGGCAGCTTTGCCATGGCAACGGGCGCTGCACCAGGCGGCGCCCCGGCTCCGGGCGCCGGCTGGCCCTGACCTCTGACCCACGAGAGATCACCCAGCCCGCCGGCAGCGGGTATTTTCGCAAACACTTCGCATGTCTGTGCTACCCGGGCTGGGGTGGACAGCGGTGTCAGGGGAAGACGGACGGGAGCAGACAGAGGGACGATTAGCCGGACCTCTCTGACCAGCGCTGTCAGTCAGAATTAAGGGTCAGGCACACTTCCAGAGCACCCGGCTGCCCCTGGCTGGGATATTAAAACAATCCTGAGTAAATCCGTGTGAATCTGTGTGTTTATACATTACACATTTGAAAAAATAAAGAAACCTCCTAAAAACATTGAACACTTTTTAAAAAAAAAACTATTACAAGACAGAGAAAAACTGGTCGGTTTAACATAAATCTTCAATGTTTTCCTTTCCTTTCTCTTTATTTTTTACCTGCTTTGGTTTGGGCGTTTTTGTTTTAGAGGAAACAACAGAAATTCATTTGAAATGAACTTTTTTGGGATAAGTGTATAAAACACAACAAAAGGTCTCCTTTAGAAAAAAAAGCTTTTACATGTTGGCAGAAACTGACCGGTTGAAAAACACAATGTTATGTGGTCGTCCTAAAAAAAACAAAACACAAAAAAGTCTGGATTTACAACTCGAATGAGGTTTTATTGTCCTTCCTGACCACATGTTCACAGTGTGTGTGTGGATGCTGAATGTAAAAGACTGAGGCCACAGAATGGGATCCAAACATTGTTCCATAAACAGTCTTCGTGTTAGTTATAAAGCGCTTCACATCATAAACTAAATGAGTCATTCAAAAATTCCTCTTTCAACAAGAAACAAACAAAAAAAAAATAACTGGAGTAGGACGCTGGAAATCTCCCCGTTACATTAAAGATCATTTGGACAAAATTTTTAAGAACAATAGTTTAACCCACATGAAACACGGTTTTACATCACTTTTACAGCTTCTCCCTCCCTGAATGCTATTGAGTGCAGGACGCTGTGGTCATCCCCCTCATGCTGCTCCTGTCATGGCCGTCAGGTTCCGTCTGAGAGCCTGCAGCTCCTGGATCAGCAGCGACAGCTCGGCCTCCCTCCCCCCGACGGCCTCGGTCAGCGTCCGGAGGGCCTGCCCCTGCTGGACTGCAAGAGAAGAGGGACGCAAAAGAGGGTTCATCCTGCACCACGTTCTCAATCTCATTGCTCTTTCCTCACTTTTAAACGTTTACCTAGGGGAAATTATCCTTATGGGAGGTGATATTAAAGGAAAAACTGAATTCGCGGCGTCCCACCTAAGAAGTAGAAGATGAGCAGCACTGTCAGCAGAAGCAGCGTGATGACGGCGCAGCCCATGGCTGTGCCGCGGGCCGAGGGGGGGGCCGCCACGTTCTGCAGGCAGCTCGGCCATTTTCCGCTGAGCGGGCGGTTTCCCGGACCGACCCCCGAGGCGTCGTGCGTGTGCAGGTTCCCGTTGGGGGACGGCGTGTACGCGGGGCGGGGGGGTCTCGTCCCTGGAAGGGGCCAACCGTGGACAACACCGTCAGTGTGTGTTCGTGGGACTGTGTGTGTGTGTGTGTGTGTGTGTGGATGTCAGGGGCTGCATGTGAGCACCTTTGTGACCACCGTGTTCGGGGTGTGTTCGGTGGAGGTCATTTATGGAGTCCACGGAATGAAGCTCGATCTCGGTGAGGTCCCTGTCGCTGACCCTGTAGAACTGAGGAGTGGTCTGTGTGGACGAGGGCCTGGACATCTCTCCCTGTGGGGAGGAGAAGCGAAAAAGGATGAGGGACAGATGGACCAAAATGGCTCACAACCAGTCAGCACTAAACCTGATCCTTCACTTTGTTTCGGTGCACTGTAGCGTTCCCTCTGGAGCTCTACCTAAAAGCTTACAGTCTCTAAAGAAAAAAAATGGCCGCCTCTAAATTATTTGAAAGCCTTGTAGACACATATTGCCATCTGCTTCATTTTCTCACTGACTGCATACCTGCCAGTTTGGCAGGAACTGATGAACTGAACGGCCTGGCCTTTGCCGTCTATTATCCGATTAGATGAGTTACTTCAACGAACACAAAGTATTGTTATGCCCCTCTGGCAGTGGAATGATGAAAATCCCAGGGATGCTGGGATTCTTCACTACGCTGCACCGAGTGTGAGAAACCCCATCCCAGATTTGAAAACTAAACTCGGTTAGGATGTCTGTGTTTTCATGTTGCTGTGAAAGTTGCTTGAACTGTCATCCGGGTTCACAAATGAAACTGTTTGCTATCACAAACCACATACTTATCTGAATATAAGAGACGTTACATGTGCATCTGTTCACTTAGATCCTGGAATAATATCCTCAGAACTCCAGGAAAGAAAAAACTGCAAATGTCCACACTGTGATAATACATAAGGGCCACAACCTTTGAAAAACTCTAAACATGAACGTAAACCTAGTTTTAGACTGTCAGTGTTTAACAAGAATATTGGAAAGATGTGTTCTGTATGTTCTGTATGTACAGAAGAGAGAAGCAGTCTTATGAGAAAGACAAATACAATTCAAACTAACTGATATATTCGGTCAGAATAATGAAAAAAATATCCCATCAAAAAGGTTTTTGGAAGTGCAAACTACAGTATGTCATCTTGGTCTGTCTGCTGATAACGTACGAGCAGATAGATGATTTATAACAGCTATTATTAAACTCGTTATCAAACCCATAAAGGTGCACTGCTGTTGGAGTTTGAATCCAGGGCAAAGGACAAAACATGCGCCCACTTAATAAATGACTAACAGAATGAATGAATAGATGATTTACTCCTTCAATCTGGCTGACCACCTAATAAATGACCAAAACCGACAACCTCAAGACACAAGACAGACCTGAGGAAAAAGAGCTTAACGCCATGTCCATTCCTGTTATTAGGCCTACCGTCAGTCACAGGAAACAAAAGGTCTCTTAGATGTGAATTATTCCTCTTGTTCCCTCCTCACATGCTGACGCCCGCCTGGACCAACAAAAGCACCAGTAACCTAAAATAAATATCCACATATGTTTTCCAGGAGACAAAGTCTGATGTAATCCTGGCAGAGAAATGGGTTAGTCCAGTAAAAATCCTTGACGTCAAATCGAGCAAAAAGTCTCGGCCTCTGTGTCCTCGTCAGTCGGCGAGCAACTTTAAGACGCCCAACGGGGCAGAAAATCAGATATAGTCCACCCCAGCTGCCCCGTGGAAGTCGTGGGGAGAGCCAGAGACACAGACAGACGGTGGAACTCTGCTCAGTCTTGTTGCCCCCCTCCAAACATGCACACACACACTGGGCTTTTGCAGGCCCTCAGGGCCCAGAATAGCTCCGGGGAGACGGGGTTATTATTAGTTGCTCAGGCCAAAGGATGACTCAGTGACCTGAGTGGAAGGCAAGAGGGGGTACATGGGGAAAACAAACACACAAGTAATCGTAAGGACAGAAATCACCGTCATGTGGGCGGCATCATCTGACCAGGAACACCTCTGTGAGGTGTTTTGAAGTAGAAAGCAAGAAAGGAAGCCGGTCGAATCAAAAGTAGAGTTCAGTCCAAGAACTGATATGTTTGGGGATGAATGTAGGGCTGGTCATTTTAGCTCCTTCGTGCTTTCTTTCCTTCTGTCCCTTTTGTTAGAGCAACCAGTGGGAACCTCCACATAGCCCCTGAATTTCCTTCTTTTACTTTCTCAAATTTCCATCTTTTGTCATTAAGAATCGTTTTAGGACGTTTTGATCTATTCTTTTTGGCGCTGTTTTATCAATCCAACAGCTTCTGCACCACGACTCACGGCTCAGCCACATCTCTTTACTATTATCAACCTGAACTCCACTTTCCGTTCATTTCTCAACAACTTAGAGCCCTAAACTTCCTGACAACTTTATATTTTTCATAAACCAGAGAAAACGTTTGAGTTCTACTTTGAATAAAAAAATTACTGACAGGCTTTCCCTCATGTCATTGTGTTTTTGTAGGCGTCCTCCTGAACACCTTTCTCTCCGTGTTTGAGACTCTGGTTTGAGCATGTGAACTCATGCAGGACCAATTCAACCGTCAACTACATTTCCCACAAGCCTCCGCTCTTTCCTACACTCATTCACTACGGTTCATGTGGCTTTGCCAGGGGAGAGTGGAGTCCACAGAGTTTGGGAGAGCAGCGGAAGTGCTTCCCCACCGAGGACCACTGGGCAGGCGGCTGAATTCCGGCGGGTGTCCGGCGGCATCATGTGGACGCGGGGGCTGATGGTTGGGGTTCGGGGCTCGGGGCTCGGGTTGCGGGCCTCCGGGGACGTTTTGCTGCGGGTCAGCGGAGGGGGATGCGCGGGGAGGAGAGTCCAGCAGCAGAGGCAGGCGTCCACCACAGAGGTAAGCAGGACCGGACGGCCACTTCGACGCGTAATGACCGGCGTGTGACCGGCCTGTGGTTTGGCACTGACATTTCCACTCGTTTAAACTTTTAAATGACTGGTGGTCAAGGGGTTGTAAGGGCTGCTCCAGACCTCACTGGCCAAACCCAGACCAGTTCTGGCTGCTGGTAAAGGACCGAGCTGCTTTACTGAAAAGGAAACCGTGCATTTCTGTTCACTCTCAGGTCCACTTATCCCTGTAAAAACTCCAAACGACAAGCCTAAAAGTGTGTCACTGTCAGTTCATGCAGACATAACGAACATCTGCCCACAGCTGAGTCTCGTTGCACATGATTATTTTATTAAAACCAGGAGAGACTGTGACTCTTCAGCATTATCAGTGTGCAGTGTTGCACTGATAAGCCCCTTTTTAGCGGCTGGTTCAAAGTTCACCGGTTAGGGGCCGAAAGAACAGAACACAGGGTTGTGACAGAGGAGAGGCCATAAACAGAGCTGTGGACCTGCCAGAGTCCAGGGGTTACCTTACTCACTGTTACAGATAATGCTCAAAGACACCCTAACAAACAATAAACCTTCCCCAAAAACTACATTTGAAATGCTCAGTGCTTTGCGGATACATCCATCGTGTCGCTCAGACTGTGGGGATCCGGATGATTTCTCTGTTGTGTGTGTCTCGTCTACCACCAGGCCGCTCTGAGGAAGACTCCGCTCTTCGACTTCCACCGGGAGCAGGGCGGGAAGATGGTGGAGTTTGCCGGCTGGAGCATGCCCGTCCAGTACAGGGACAGCCACATCGCCTCCCACATGCACACCAGGGAGCACTGCTCCATCTTCGACGTCAGCCACATGCTGCAGGTCAGAGGACACACACACACACACACATACACACACACCCTCGGACAAGCGGGCCTGGGTACCACACACAGCACAACCTGATGCAAAATCTATGAAACTCCAGCCCACCAGAAAAAGCAGCCCCTGCATGTACTGATAGGAAGTCGTTTTTATTTTTCACCAACAGACCAAAGTTCATGGCAAAGACCGCGTGAAGTTCATGGAGTCTCTGGTGGTTGCAGATATTGCTGAACTCAAGGATAATCAGGTAGGTGGAGAAAATAGAAAATGACTGATCTGTCACAGTGTAGCTGTCAGATCTGGGATTAGCCTCAGTGTGTCTGTGCCTTCAGTTTCCAACAGTTCAAAACGTCCCCACTCAGTCTTTCTGATGAAAACACACAAAAGACGTCTTGTTGTTTGTTTTAAAGAGGGTTCATGTGGAAAGAAAACCTTAAAACAAAAAGGCATCAGAACTGCCTTGAAATACTGTTTGTAGGATTTAGACGACAGATCACATAAAAACTGATAGATTCAGAATCAGGTGTGAGCAGAACCACAGTGTAAGGTGACAGGTTTGGAGCTTTTCAGGTCAGATATATTTAATTTTTTTCATAATTCAGAGATATCTGACCTTCTGGTTCCTCTGATACCCGTTTTTGCATTTTTACCTTCACCCCCTCGTCTTTTTCTCTCCTCTTCCTCGCCTCCCAGGGTACGCTGTCCCTCTTCACCAACGACAAGGGGGGGATCATCGATGACCTCATCGTGACAAAGACGGACCAGGGCTACCTTTACATCGTGTCCAATGCGGGCTGTGCTGACAAGGACTCGGCTCACATGAAGGTGAGCAGAAGCACTGTGTGCCCACCGACACCCGCCTGGAATCAGACCCAAAACGTCTGTGTGTGTCGTTTCTGTTCAGGCCAAACTGGCCGAGTTCAAAGCCGCCGGTTTCGATGTGGACCTGGAGTTTCTCGATGAAGCACTGATTGCCGTCCAAGGTTTGCTTTTTCTTCACTTTCCTCCTATCGTGTCAGATGGTACAGTTTTTGTTTTTTTGCTTTGTTTTGTCAATCAGCTACGGTTCCTCATGATTCCCTCATGCAGACATTGTGCGTCCGCAGGTCCGACCATGTCCCAGGTGCTCCAGGAGGGTCTGAAAGAGGACCTCAGCAAGCTGACCTTCATGACCTCGGCCCTGGCCACTGTGTTCGGCGTTCCCGACTGCCGGGTCACCCGCTGCGGGTACACCGGGGAGGACGGCGTGGAGGTCAGCAGCTCGGATTTTTCAGACGCGTTTGCCTCCGAACAAACCGACAAACCCGAAAAAAAACCTTCCCTCTCGCAAACTCTGCGTCCCAGATATCCGTGCCTCAGTCCAGAGTGGTGGAGCTGACGCAGAAGCTGCTGACAAACAGCGAGGTGAGGCTGGCCGGCCTGGGAGCGAGGGACAGTCTTCGGCTGGAGGCCGGACTCTGCCTTTATGGCAACGACATAGACGAGAACACCACCCCTGTGGAGGCCACCCTTGTTTGGACGATCGGTGAGGTTTCATGTGCAGAGGTTTAATCATTGTCTGTGATATCTTAAACATAAACTAGGGTGTCTCCCATTTCTGTCCACATCTTTATTTTAATTCAGAAAATCGGCTCCATTGTTTTTTGCCCTCTCGCCCACAGGAAAGCGCAGGCGTCAAACCAGAGGTTTCCCTGGCGCTGATGTTATCGTACCTCAGATCAAAGCCAAGACTTCCAGGAAAAGAGTCGGCCTGGTGTCTACCGGCCCCCCGGTCAGACAGCACACGCCCATCCTTGGCCCTGATGGACAGGTCATAGGTCAGCAAAAAGTCACGGGGATGAAGGAGCTACAGCTTCTTTATATTTCAGAAAGTTCAGAAAAAACAAGTGCTGCTTTAACAGGAGAAAGAAACTTATATTTTTAATTAATATTTCAATTTGTGCCCCCTTTGTCTTTAAAGATTTGACCACTAGGGAAGGCAACTGCTTAACAGGTTGATTGGCGATTGAATGTTAAACACAGAAAAGAAGAAGTACATTTTGACGTACTTCCTCAAAAGCATTTTTATTTCTCTGTTTTTAGATATTGTTTCTGAGGCTTTTTGGATGTGTTTGGACATGTTTTCTGTCTTTAGGTGAGGTGACCAGCGGCTGCCCCTCTCCCTGCCTGAAAAAGAACGTGGCCATGGGGTACGTGGACGCAGCGTTCGCCAAGAACGGAACGGCCATCCAGGTCGAAGTCAGGAAGAAAGCAGTGCCCGCAACCGTCAGCAAGATGCCCTTTGTCCCCACCAACTATTACACTGGATAGGAGGCACACACAGGAACACTGGTACAAACATGTTTGGGAGACTAAACGTAACAGCCACTGTACACAGTCAGTTTTCTGAATGAGTGCAGGAAAAGTTTTTTGCATTCGTATGGTCTCACCTGTGGATAAACGGGCTCCGGTGAGATGAATGAAGAGTGGTTTTAAAGCAGAAATGTTGATTCTGGGATGGTACGTGTAACCAAAAGATGAAGCATCCTGGTTCACCAAGTTCTGATCAGTTATTTTCTCATTCAGGAGTTCGCAAGTTAATCTGAACAGACTTCCAGGTAGATCAAGAAACGTGGGGGTTTGTTTATATCCATTAGAAATAAATATTTTGTTAACTTTTCATTTAGAATAGCGATCATTGACACAGTATTAATATGCTGATGCTTGACCAAAACTTAAAATTCCAAATGTCCAATCGTCTTTAAGCTATGTTTTTGTTTTCAAATGTTATCTTCATGTGTCTGAACTATTTTTACATTTAAATTGTATCCCTAAATAGATTAAAATGGTATAACAGGGTCTACTTGTTCACCCATCTACTGACATTATTTGTTTTAAGTGTAATTATTAATGCATAATTTGCCCATGGACTTATTCTTGGTTCAGTTTTTGAGATGGTCTTTTACTTCATTTAAACAGTGCATCAGAGTTTTGTAAAATCCTTTTTTTTTGGTGCTACTAATACAATGTCATATCAAAACTAAGATATGGTCTTTATTATATATATATATATGGAAAATACTACTGAATTTTTACTTGATTGTACAACATTAACTTAGGTTTGTAACTTTAATGTCTAGATGAATTTTTATGTTAACTTCTAAAATAATATTTTTATTAGGTTGGAAAATGTGTTCTCAATATTCGTCTAAAATAGCGGTTTGTGAAAACGAGGTAATCTAAGTGTCCTAAATTCAAATAATAAATACTTCTCATTTACATTTTTGTGGTTTGTTCATTTGATGAAGGGATCTCAAACAGGTAGGGATGCAGATTAGATTTATTGATACATACATTTTCTAAAATTTCTTTACAGTGGTCACTTTATATTGCTGTAATATGAAATATACATGGAAAGCAAATTTCTTTGCTCTTTCTTATTTGGGACAATTTGGGGTATTCCGCCTCCATTAAAAATGGTATTAAAGCTCTATAAACACAATTGTTTTTTTTTCTCCTACATTAACCAAGGTTTTGAAGTATCTGTATGGAATGCGTTTGTCTAAAAGCAGATTAAAAATTGTTCATTTTGGGTTAAAATCAATGTGGGTGAATTGTAAAAATTGACTAATTGTGAAGCACCTTTTCTGAGGAGGGTTTTACACCACAAGCCACAGTCATCCATTAACACACACATACAGAAGATTTGGCCAATTAAATCAGGCTTAAAATTGAAGTATTTGGTCTGTGTTAAAGTTTCTTGTGAAAACAAGGCTGAGTCACCTAGTGAATCGTGTGGAAATAAAAAGGTTAAAGTCTGGTTCGGCCACGTTTAGTGTAGTGTCACACATGTGGTCAGACATAAACGGAAACGGGGGATGACAACTTTGCTAACCTGGCAACCCGGACACCGGTCTGTTCAGTAGTTACTGAGGGGAAGATGGTGGACTTGGCGACCGTAGCGTGTTCAGAACTCCGTCCGAAGCACTTCGAAAAATATTTACCATCTCAACCTGGTGTTAGGTATAGATTACCCGGGGACAATCACAGATAATACTTGGAGAAAACCACCGAAGAGAGCGACATTTTCGCTTCCGAACAACTCTTTATCACGGGATCGAACGGCGGAGAGTTGCAAAACGTGGTGGTTGGCGTGCTATTTACGGACAGTAGCCGACGTTAACAGAAGTGTTAAGAGAAGTGTGAAAGAAAGTGGCTATTATTGTGTATTGTGAACCCATCTGACGAGCTAAACCACGGGGACCACTTGGCCGTCGTCTGTTTCTTTCAAATCTTTTGCGGGCGGACCTGTAACCAGCTAACGGTAGCTGCTACTCTAGCTAGCTGCCGTGACCTGGAGGAGCCGAGCACCGGTCGACATGCCGCGGAGTAAAAAGGGGAAACGTGGCTCCGGTAAGCCAGGTAAGGAACAGGAGCAGCCATGTCAACATCTCACGAAGCCCCTGGCGTGAAATAAATAAAAAAAGAATACCGAACAAATGCCACTACTGGCTAAACTGCTCGTTAGCCACACCAGATAGCAGCACGTTGGCGTTCCATATGGCAACAGCAGCCTGTTGCTCCCCAGAGTTCAGCATGGACATTTCTGTACTGTCTGCCTTTTTCTAGCCACAAATATTTTGTGGGATAAACAGTTCTACTGCCCAGCAGTTCGTGCTGCATGTGTTTATGTCACTATTGAAGCCATCGAGTGATCTGATGATTGTTTTCACTCTCTTGAAGTGTTTTGGTTGTAATCTTTCCATAGATGCTGATGGTAGTGTCCTCACATGGTGATGTCCTAGTTAGTATTTCTGGAAATTGGGCCTGTCTAATTCTTTTGATATTTAAGATTAAGTTAGAAAAACTGCTGACAGTAAATGTTCAGGATTTGAGCGCCACATTGGACAAAGTACAAGTTTAATCAAGGGTGTGAGAGTTTCTGGCCATATCTGAATTTTACAGTCAGACCTTCTTAAAGCAGCTGATTGTATGTTTTGACCACTTTAAAGCAGTAAAGCAGCATTTGTAATGACTCATTTTAAAAAAATAAAGCATGAGTCACACTATGAGGCAGTTTTCCTCTAAGGAAGTCCTAGTGGGTCCCTTAAATTGGTCTCTACATCCTCCTTTTTACGGACTTATGCATTTAGTAACCAGTAGAAATGATCAAAAAGAGTTAGATGCATTTTTTTCCACATGTCTGATGATTTTTATGAAGTTTAGTATGCTGTAGCTATATATATATAGGGTTAAGGTGAACTGAGATATTTTTAGTAGCAATGCCATGGAAAGCATTTACAGTGGGGAGGGGGGCAGTATGTCCATCGGGGTCTTTCAGTTCATTTCTACTGTTAACAGTGTACAATAATGCCATGGGCCGCTCGGACGCCGCTTACTGCACCAGCAAGTTATCCATGTTGGTAAGCAGACATTTGTGTTATAATAAAAGAGGAATTTAGGACAGGAAAATGACACTGGGGGGCGGAATCCTCACTCCCAAGTGTTTGAAACACAAAGTGTTAGGAATCGGAGACTCGGCTCACTTATGATGTTTGTATTTCTCTCCCATGTGGCCATCCCTCCATTTTCCCTCTTTACCATTTATCCAAACGCCCCCCGCCCCACCAACACCACAAATCATACTCCGTTTCAAACACCCCCCCTTCCCATCCGCCACCTTCAGGCTCTCTCCGTCTGGAAGTTCTTCAACTGCAGTTGTCGGCTAAAGCGTCTCCGAAAGGTAACGCCTCCGACCTTTGACCCCAGGTCTTCATGTTCAGCTCAGGCCTGGCCCAGAAGTGCATGCTGCAATCCCAGCAACCCCTTACACGCTCCGGCAGGCGTGTGCGGCGCTTTTTACCCCTTAACCGGTCACCCCCCCCCCCCCCAACGCGCTCACCTTGATAGTCTGGGTTGTCGGAATGACACGCTGCATGTCACGTTTGTAACGCTGTGAATCCACCTCCATGCTTCTTAAAATACTCATCATACAGCTAAAAGGGGGTTTAGCCACATCTGATCCCCACTCCCCCCCACATTAGTGGATGTATATCTTTAGTGCGACGTTGCCTTGTTCCACCCCGGTGGGCTCATTTCCTGCCACCTCTGCTCAGGTGAACAGAGAGTCACCCAACAGGATACCCATCTAATGGGAGGGGCTTTTGCTCTCCTAGCTAGCATTTTATGATGTGTTTTGCCAGAGGACAACGTGACACCAGAACGAATCGGGATAAAGAGATCCCTGAGCTGGGCAACATTGAGGCAGTATACGGCAAAACACATCTGGGGTTAGCCTTCTAAGTGTGTAGCCAACGGTCTGGTGGCTCCTGCTGCTCTGGCCGGGCCCCGGTTTGTCCGTCAGCAGAGCATCCTCCCCAGAGACCGCCTGACCGCTAGCTGATTGCCATGTATACATGCAGTAGTTTAGTGACCCTGTGCCGGGGCCAGGAGGCCATGTACTCTACTGCAGTTTTTCACTTCTGGTTTCATTTTTTTCACTTTACCTTGACATCTGTGTGGGCACAGTTTTATATATTTGCATTAAGTATAACTAAAAGCTGCTACTTTCACATAATGAATCAGCAGTTTAAGAAAAAAAAAAAGGGCACCGCTGGGATTTCCAAATAGAAGCTTTACTTTGCAGCACCAGTGACCTGCAGGTCACCTCGGCTGCACTTGCTGACCTGGACGCCCACACACGTTGGGTGGATTCTGGACTGCGCACACTGAATGAATGGACAGATGAATGGCCACACTGGTCTTCAGTAATCCCACCGACTGTAGAAAGTCCTGAGCCAGCAGGAACCTGAGGGTTAGCTTAGCTTTGCCCTCGTGTCTCCTGCCCCTCCTCAAAAAAAGCCGAGCAGAGCTGAAACAGAAGTCCAGGTACTGATAAAACCAGAAATGACAGCAGGATAATCCTACTTGGAAAAAAGCTTTTTATTTTCAGGTGTTTCTGGAGATTAAAGAAAGGCCGCTGCGATGGTGAACCTGTCAGGAAAAGGATTGGCTTCTCTTCACTGAGCAACTTTAAATGCACGTCGTGACAAAAAGTGAAAGTGACAGTAATAGATCTAATACTCTTATGTAGGGATCCAGACTCATTAATCCCTACCTGTAAAAGGTGTACGGTTACCCGTAAACGCTGATGAGTCGGTAGGCCGTCAGCTCGCTTTACTAACAGCAGTACTCAACTATTGGTTGTGACTAACATCACAAACTGGTTTAAGAAATAATAATTTGGGTGATTAAAAATACATTTTTGCCTTTAATCACATCCAATTTCTTAAGAGCTGTTAAAAATCATAGTAGACTCAATAACACAGTTATAAGTTAGTTCTCTAGAGGAAAATCCCTAGTCAGAATCAGTGGTGACGGCAAAGAGAGAGAGGAAAGTGGAGAAACAGTAGTAGAGGGGTATAGAGGTATGGGTAAGAGTTAGGATAATTTTACCTGATTTCAGGAATAATTCAGTCACATTAACAGAGTTTTGAAGAAGATTCAGTCCATGTATGTAACTTTTTCTTTCCCCTTTCTGCATCTGTAACACCCCTTTCTCTGAATTCTCACTGTCGAACCGTTTCTTTTTTTTCTTCAGGAGTAAAAAATGGGATGAAGGGGGAGTCTGCTGCTAGCGATGACGAGCTGGCGTCTGATATCCTGAGCCACTACAGCAGTGCCAGTGACAGCGCCTCCGTGCTGGAGGAGGGCACAGGTCAGTACGGCGCCTCTGGCACCGCATCTGTGTGCCTTCACCCGCTTAAAACTGTGGTCACAAGCCAGATGTTGACCGTGTGTCCCCACCGGTTGAACGCAGGGAGCGAGCAGGTGGACGAGCAGAACGCCCAGGAGGAAACGGAGGACAAACTCAGGCAGTGCATAGACAACCTGATGGACAAGAGGTAAGGGTCATTAAAAAAAACAAGACCAATGTTGGACAAAATCCCCCGTGTGCTCGCCTCACCTCCCTCGTCTGGCCTCTCAGTGCGAAGGGCCGTCTGGCGGCCCTGGAGTCCCTGCGCCAGGCCTTTTCCTCCAGAGTGCTGTATGACTTCCTGACAGACCGACGCCTCACCGTCAGCGACTGTCTGGAGAGGAGTCTGAAAAAAGGTAGCGCACAACTTAAACTCATGTGCAAAAAACTACATCAAACTTAAAGATTCAGTCTAGTTCCACCTCATGAAAACATCCTCTTACGATGGCCTGGGGCTCTAACTGTGATTTGCTCCCCTGCGGGCTGTGTGTGTGTGCAGGCGGCGGTGAGGAGCAGGCGGCGGCGGCCACGGTCTTCACCCTGCTCTGCATCCAGCTGGGGGGCGGGGACGAGGCAGAGGAGGGCCTGAAGATGCTCCGGCCCATCCTCACCGCCCTCCTGATCGACACCAGTGTCAGCATAGCGGCTCGCCAGAGCGTGAGTAAACCATCTCTGATTCTGTTTCCACGCCCATATCTTATCGTCTCTAAAATGAGACTTTTATGTGGTTGTTTTGGACAAAATTAGTTTGAAATGGAATGGGCTTTCTTTTCTCTTCAAAGTGAGACTTTTGATGACTCTTGCTAACGTAGGAGATGTTTAACATTAACTCCTTTGATGTATTGGGGTAGCGAATGGAAATGCTGATGTCAAATGTCTCTCCCTCAGTGTGCTCGGGCTCTGGGGATGTGCTCTTACGTCTCAACTGCGGAGGAAGGAGAGGTGAGATGAACTTCTTACTCCTTTGAACTTGTAAATTCTTAGAAAAGACTCAACAGTGGAGCGAGCGGGTGAACTCATGAAGTCAAAACCTGTGGTTTATGTTGGAATGTGACGTTTGAATTGAGTGTGTCAGTAGTCGGGCGTTGAACTGGACACCCTGTGGTCCCCCCCCCTCAGCACGTTTCCTCTTCTAACCCCTCGCAGGACCTGGTCAAGTCGTTGGCTCTTCTGGAGAACGTCTTCGTGGCTTCCTACCCAAACAAAGAGGGAACGCTGCCCACGCTCAAACCCGGTCTTCCCGGCCTGTACGGCGCCGCCCTGCAGGCCTGGTCACTGCTGGTCACCCTCTGCCCTCCCTCCAGACTCACCGTGCTGCTGGACTTGTGAGTGACGCAGACACACGCACAGCGTCACGCAGCGACCAGACAGCTGCGCGGCGTCACATTTCTGCTGAAGCGGAGGGCTGAACATACTTCCTCCCTAAATAAACCAAAAGCTGAAGCGGGCTTCGTTTTCAGTTGGATGCTGAACTAAATCTGTATGCTATGGACTGCCATCACCACCAGGGTGTGCTGTTGAGCCAGTTCTTTAAACAAAGCGGTTAACAGTTGAGCTGTGTGGTTATGAGCTGTTCATGTGATGTAACAAACAGTGCAGTGTATTTGTGTGTTAACAGTTATTCATGATCTGCCCCCCCCCTTGCAGTCACCTGCCCAAGCTGCAAGTGTGTCTCCAGAGCAGCGACGTAAACTACAGGATCGCTGTGGGAGAGACCATCGCCCTCCTGGTCGAGTTGGGACGCGAAGTAGACGAGGTAAACGCACACATTCCCTCAGAAACATTGACAGCGGAGCTCATTTAGTTGCAGGCACACGACATATGAAAAGCAAATAAACAGATAACTGATCAAGTCATTAGAAGCCAGTTAATCAGGTTTAACTTAACTTTTATTGTTATATTTGTTTTGTAATGCTTTCTCACGTGTGTGTGTGTATGTCCAGGAGTTTGAGGTGGGGGACGCTGAAAGTCTGTGTGAGAGTCTGAAGAGTTTAGCCACCGACGGCAATAAGCACAGAGCCAAAAACGACAGAAGGAAACAACGTTCCATCTTCAGAGAGGTTCTGCATTACATAGAGGTACGCAACTATGGTCTTTTTTTAATCAGAGATCCCTCAGTTTTATTTTCATTTGTGTTTTTTTTCTTTCAATGATCATTTCATTGGTTCTTTTGGTGGCACTGTGGTGTGAATTCCTTAGCACTGCCATGCTAAATCTAGCGAGCGCCTCGTAACCCACTGACCATTAATAAACACTTCACCAAAAAGCTTCACACGTCTCCTCTTCAATGAAAGAAAAAGACCACTTTTGAAAACCTTTCTGCTTATTCTTGTCGTGATCGTGTCCCACAGAACGAGGATTTCTCAGAGGAGAAGATCAGGTTTGGAGTGGAGAGCGTTTACATCGACAGCTGGATGAGAAGACGAATCTACGACGCTTTCAAGGAGATCCTCGAATCTGGAGTCAGACACCATCTACAGGTGATTGTGGGGCACCGAACCCCCCAAAACTACTAAGATCTGAGCGAGCTCTTGCATAAGAAACAGGATGTAAATCTTTATGGACAGAGATGAGGCAGAATTGACTAAAACTTATGGTCCCAAACACTATTTGACGTTTTGATCGTTCTGCACTACTGTAAAAGGCCTGTGGATATTTAGTATCTCCTCCCAGTGTACATGTTCGCATACATTAACATTGGTGTTCCTGTTGTTTGGTGCAGTTTAATCCACTGCTGCGTGACATCTTTGGCCTTGGAGCCCCCCTCATCCTGGATGCTTCCATCAAAGGGAACAAGATCTCACGGTTTGAGAAGGTCTGTATCTGGGTTTCACCACTCGGTTTTGAGCCAGCGATGTGGGGAAAATGCAGAAATAAAGACGTCACTCTCTTTTTTCCCCCTATGTTTTAGCACCTTTTTAACTCAGCTGCCTTCAAAGCCAGAACTAAACAGAGGAACAAAGTCAGGGATAAACGCGCCGACGTCATGTGAGAGTGGACGGCCTGAATGGGACCGGTGGACTGCACCGACATGGATCCACGCTGCCTTCGACTCTTCTCCTGTTACCACACACAGGCTCAACACAACGGGTCCTGTCGTTTTTGCTCCTCATGTACATTTGAACGGTCCACGATTCGAGATTATTGATTACTTTCATCAGTGAGTGTGAAGTATTAAATGTCAGTAGAGAAATTCAGAATGATTTTAGACTGTGCGGCCCTCCTGGGTGCTGATGGGTAGGATTTCTGTATGATTCCTGGCTCAGACTGCAGCCATGCCTTTTGACAGGTCTTTCATGACTTTTTAAACTGTATTTACCAGGCTCTCCTGCACACATCAGGGATCATTCAAAGGCTAAAGCTATGCCTTTAAGATTCAAATTCTCTAAAAAGAGCCAGGAAAATATCGTAGAAAATCTTTAGAAAACGTACTCTGTTTCCCTCCGTCTTTAAACCCTGAGTGGCTCCCTCAGGTGCCAGACAGAGACAGACTTGACAAACAATGCAACCTTACAGGAAGTGTGTGTGTGCGTGTGTGTGTGAGTGAGTGTTTTGTTTAAAATGAATTTAACCACAAAATAAAACACTTAAACATATAAACAAGAAGATGCCTAATTTAAAAAAGGATTCAAAGACTTGATATTGTCATCTTTGTATTCATAACTTTTGAAAGGAAATTTCTAATCACTTTTTTTGGGAAATTGTATTTTACTTTCTAATTTATTATCAGAAATGTAATATGTGGTTTTTAAAAAAACTTCATGTTAAAAACTGTTTACAGATACAAAGATGGGTAAAGATGACAATTTCTCTTTTTTTCTGTGTATTTTTTTAATGCAGAATGGTGGGTCATTCAGTCTATTGTATGTATTGAAAATATACTGAATATAACGAATTTATGGACGTCTGTTTATTAAAAGGTTTGAATGACTTCATCTGCAGTTCACATGGGACAGCTGCTATTCAGAGCTGCTGATGGGAGGAGTTTGGTGATGCCGTTTGACTGATGGTCGGGCTAGCATTTGAAATGGACAATAACTGTTTCAGTAACTGTGAAGGATGATGAAGCAGTTTTTTTCCAGGGTCACGCCTAAACTTCACCAAGCTTTCTTCTATCAGCACTAGTGGTGCTCGGGCACATGGACAGAAAGTGGATCAAATGAAATAAAGAGATCTCGAACACTGCCTGTTTATATTCATTCAAAAAGGTTGTTCTCTTTAACAGCTACTAACTTCTGCAACCTGCTGATCATACAAGGATACAAATCCTGTAGGAAATGGAGTCATTACATTGTAACAATGTTAGCTCAGCTCCATGAATAATAAAATAAAATCAAGCTTTCTTCAATTGAATCAGAAGGCAATTAATTATATCTGTTAATGACATGGATAGAGTAAGTGTTGTCACCCATCTTGAATCTAGTCCTAGGTTAATTTTGCAGTTTTTATAGACTCTGGACTAAACTTCAGTTGCCACATTAAGGCTGTAAATAAGACGGCTTTCCAAATTGCCCTTAGGAGTGAGTGTGCATGGTTGTGTGTCTCTGTGTAGCCCTGCTATGGACTGGCAGACCATCCAGGGTGTACCCCACCTCTCCGGTCCCCCGGCAACCCCATAAAAATAAGTGGTTATGAAAATGGATGGATGAATCTTTAGCAGACTTGACTACTGTACTATTAATGTCTAGCTGCTGTTAGACTCCTAACCGGACATCCAGAAAAACTGGGCTGATAACTCATATTCTGAGGTCAGTTAGTTGTACATGTATGGAAAAAACTGGATATTAAATGGGCTCTAACTCCGGACACATTTTAAAATTTGAACTGAAGCTACTGTTTCCCAGGGCCTTTCTTTAATGGAGATTAACTGAACTGTTTTTACGTTTTCTTAATTCTGAACTATTTATATCTAATAAATAGTTTAAATTGTCAAGGAGTTTATTCGATCTTTGTGAAGCACTATTCCGAACTAAAGGTAGGAAAAAGGCGAGTTTTGAAATGCTGCCTCCTTGTGGTCGCTTCCCTCCATTGCACCCCTCCAAACCTCAGCAAGGTGGTATCTCCCACTCGTGAACTCAACATGGAGGCGCAGTAAACAGCAAGAGTCACCGCCTTAGGCCCCGAAGAGGCGATGCAGGACCTGACAGCGATGCAAACCAGCTAAGGCTGCCCACATCTGCGCCGGGGAAGAAACGCTTTTTAATGTCAGTTCACGAAGCGTGAATGGTGCTGCCGTGCACCGGCTGTGTGGCGGTCAGGTCCGGTCCATTAACGTGAGCTATGTTTGTGGTAGCAGCAGAGCCCAATGGAGAGTGGACCGGTCATTGGGGTGTACGGAGAGGTCAGCAGCCTCCCGACGCCGGTTTCGGCCCATGTGGGAGAGGAGCAGCTCCCAGAGGCCCGCCTCTACACGGTGACAGCAGGTGAGCTAGTGGCGAGCAGACCCCCTAACAGACTCCATAACAGACCCCCGTCGCACCGCCTCCTGTCCACTTCTGATGACGACGACGATGGGAGTTTATTTATTATTATTTATATACACCACCAATGGACGCCGCTTGGATGGAAATATAGAAGCCACAGCGTCTCTCTGAAAACTGATCTTCCTCCTTTAAACGGAGAAAACATGTTTAATTGAATGTCAACTAAGTTTAATTGATTAAAAGAACTTATCAGTGGTGGTAATTAAAAAAAAAGTATAACAATTGCAACAGAAGAGAAGTTTTGGGGAAAATGGGACATTTTTGCTCAATAAATCAGCTTTATGAGAGGTGTTTCAAGCTGAATTGACTTTTGCTTTTTTAGAATTAAAGGGCTTATGACTTGAAAGATCAGAGGAGCTGGCAGCAGCTTTTGGATGTTAAATTTATTTTTTCTGTGGATGAAGGAGACATGCTAAGAGGCCATGGGTGCCATAAAGCATCCATAGTCTTGATAGGGATCCAGAGAGTCTGCAAAGTTCATCATTCTTTATGAAAATGCAGAAGGAAGTAAACAGCACAGTTGATGATTTATTATACTCTGAAGTTTGCTGCCAAAGCCCTCAGACCTCTTGCCGGTCAGCCTAAGAAACATTTACTGCAAACGTAATATTTCAGCCTGACAGTTGTGAAGGACGAAGCAGCCTGCAGAAAACCAAAGTGAACAAACACAGCGCAGGCAGTAAAGCTGAATCTGATTACATGTCCATGCCGGGGATCGTGCGCAAGGGTTTAGAAAGATTTACAAGTAAACCCATCAGCTTCCCCTAAGGAAGACCACTCAAGCTACATGTAACTGGACGATTGTATACCGGTCTGTAAGTGCAGGGATGGACACTCTCCTTCTACTCATAACATCACTTGTTACATCTGACTGACTTTGTCTGAATTATCAGAGTCTCAATTTAATAGGATGTTACATTAGGAGATGAGAGGGGACAGAGGTGGTTTTAACGGGATTATTGGCTGTAAATGTCATATTCACTGACAAAAAAGAAGCCAGGAAGTTGCTAATTTCTTTGAGTGGAACAGTTTCTAAAGCATACTTGTCCACCTATTCTTTATGAATAAAACCAAGCTATCCTATATTATAATTCAGTTTTCTTTGTGTGTCCTGCAGTAAATTTAGCCTTTTTGACTTTTTATTCAGTGATGAGTACATATGAGCCACTGATATTGGTTTGAATTTATTGAAGTCATAACTCTGTTTGCTGTGTTCAGAGTGGATTCAGAGTGATTTGGTCCGAGGCTCCAGGCTTCGTTACGCACAGCGGTGGACTCTTATCGCCGATAGCAACAACCACAAAAACATCAGGACTGTCCTCCCATCAGGACCATGCACATCAGTGTCTGGAGAGTGAGTGGGGCTGCACTTTAGCTTTTTCTTTATAACCAGAAAAAACAAAATCTGCTTCAGTTTAACCCCAACCGAAATGCTTTTCAGGTTACTGAGTGGCTTTTCTCCCATTAAAAGCCTGAGGGCTGTCATCAGGGAAACGGGCAGCCACCAACTCCTAGAGGTGAGAGTCATGGACCCAGACATCCCCACTGAAATGGATGTTCAGTCACTCATACTGTGTTGTTTCTCTTTAGATATGGGACTGCCATGGCCTCAGAAAATGCCTCAACCTGACTGTTCTGAACATACACGGCAGAGTGTATGATGATGGTTAGAAGGATTCTTACCTTTTCCTTTTTCTTTCGTTCTGAAGCAATTCTTCTTTTAATTGGATAATTCTTATGTCTTTTTTTCCCAGCCCAGTTTGGCTGTCTGTCATGGTCGGAGTGTGAGAACAAACTGCTGTACATAGCTGAGAAGAGCAGGAACCCTTTAACAGAAAGACAAGACAAAGAATCCGCTCCCAGAGAAGTACAAACCATCACAAACAAACGCACACAAACTCAGAAGTGGAGTCGGTCATCTTTAAGAGGAGGGCTTGTGTCCAAACAGGACAGGAGCGTGTACCGTGAGGACTGGGGCGAGGCTCTGGCAGACAGGAGCGTCCCGGTGATTTGTGTGGTGGATCTGAACAGCGGCGCGGTCAGCGTGTTACAGGGCGTCCCGCTGGACGTCTCACCTGGACAGGTAAGGAACGAGAACCTCCCTCCTACTTAATCCTATGAGTTACTCATGGGTTTTTAGAGCTGTCAGATTCATATTTGTTCGTCTTTGTCCTCAGGCTCTGTGGGCTCCCGGCAGTCAGTCTGTGTTTTTTGTCGGCTGGTACCATGAACCCTTCAGACTTGGACTGAGGTTCTGCTCCAACCGCAGGTTAGAGAGATGCATTTCCCCCTTTATTAAAAACAAACAAAAAAAAACAAAACCCACTGAAATTCAGGCTCTGAAATGAGCACAAAGAGATTTCTATCCAGGAGGAAAACGTCAACGTTTCCAACCTCCTCCTGCTCTCTGGAGGGACTCCAGCTGGGAGATGTAATCACTCCGGCAGATCCTGGGTCTGCCCTTAAGGCCCCCGCCGGTGGGACACGTCCCAAACGCAGCGGCTCTGTTCTGAGCTGCTGTCGGAAAACCAACCCCTCCGCCTGAGGGTGAAGCCAGACACCCCTCAGATGGAGCTCATTTCCACGGCCTGTGATCATGACTTCATCTCTTTTGGCTACTTTTCACAGTTTGTTGCCTTAGGTAGGATGGAATAGTAGATCGACTCTCCTCCCCAAGACAGATGTTTGCATCACATGTTCGACCCCCACCAATAAACATACTCGTTTCTCTAAAAATTGGTGCTGGAAAATAGTAACAATAATACCCCAATCAGACCAGAGCAAAGAGGACATTTGTGTAGCTTTATTTGGGCACATCTACACCCCTCACTTCAAATCCTACTGTTGTTTTTTTATCTGCATTTGGATGGAATACTACCTCCCTGTTCTGCTTCTTTAGTTTCTCTCTCTCTTCACTCTTTCAGGTCTGCTTTGTTCAAGCTTGGCCTGAATGGACACTGTGGTGAGAACATGACCTTTTGTGTCTCTGCTAGTGTTCCAAACTCTGCTCATCTCACCCCTACATTACGTCCCCTTCCCTTCCCACACCAGAATGCCTCTCGGGGGACAATCTGTCAGTGTCCTGTCCGAGGCTGAGTCCGGACGGGTCGGCGTTGATCTACCTGCAGGGGAAAGTGTTCGGCCCCCACAGCCAGTGCCTGGGGCTGCAGCAGGTACCCAGGGCCCGTGTGTGGTGGTGTGTGTTTGTCTGCATCTGCTCCTTTTACTAACGAAGGAACGTTAACTGTGCACAGTTGGACCTGAAGAGCGGCCGGACCTCCACGCTGCTGGATGTTGTCAGTAGAGCTCGTCCTGGTAGGTTAGAGTTAGTCTCAACGGTCTCAAAACAAAAGAAAAGAAAGAAAAACAAAAAAGCTTTGATTGCTTTCTAAAAACAGATGAAGCAGGGGGTTATCTTTGTGTGTTTCAGGTGAGTTTGCGGGGGTGTATGAGGCTCTTCCGTCCGGCTGCTGGTCAGCAGACAGTCAGAGGGTGGTGTTCAGCAGCGCCTGCAGGAACTGGAAGGTGAAGGCTTCGGTCCGGCACACACGGGCTCAGCCGAGCTGGAAGAGGTGTGTTTTCCTCTCTGCAGCTCATTCACTCCTCCGTCTGGGTTTCAGGATCTCTTTATGGTCGACAGAAGATCGAAGAAAGTCACATCCCTCTCTGATAGTAAGAGTCCATCCTCTTCTCCACCTCCACCTCCTCCGCCTCCCTTCTCTCTTCTGTCCGCATCTCCCTCGCTTAACTTCCCTCCTCCTCCCACCCCTCTCTCTCCTTTTCTCCCCCCTCCCCCTTCCCCTTTTTGGTGTTACTCTTCTTCACTGCCTCCTCCGCCTCCACAGACTGAACCTTTTTTTAATCTTCCTCCTCCTCCTCCGCCTCTATCACCTCCTCCTTCTCCTCCTCCTCCTCCCCCTCAACCTTCTCCCTTGCCCACACATTTTCCCCTTCCCTCCCCCGCTCAGTTCCTTCCATTTCCAGATCCTCCCTTAGCTAATGAGTTCCACTTTCCCTTTCCTCCTCCTCCTCCTCCTCCTCCTCCTCCTCCCCCTCCTCCTCCTCCTCCCCCCTCTCCATTCACAACCGTTCATCTTCATCAGGATCACAAGAGAGGAGTGGAAGGTATGAAAAGACCACCACATTTCAAATCAGTGGGAAATTTGAAAGATGACTGATAACCTCTGCTATGAACGTCCAGACCCCAGTGTTGCCAATCAGCCCCTGTGAGAACGAGCTTCTCATCGGGGGCCATTCTTCACCTCCTTTTCACCTCCTCCCCGTGTTGTTCTTTCTGTCACTCCCCTCACCGTCTGTTTTTGCCGCCTCGCTGTCTCTCTGCTGCAGATTTCTGCGATCCTTCCGGAGGTTTCGGCTGCTGGAAGCTGCTGACGGTCCAGAGGGACCTGATGATAGTCTGCTGCTCCAGCCCCAGCACGCCCCCCACCCTGGTCAGCAGAGCACACCCACCCATAGCCACTCACACGGGATCACGGGGGTTAAAGCACAGGCAGGTGCACGTAAAAACTAGACTGCCGAGAAAAGCTGTAACTGTTTTGCGGGCCTTTGGTGCGTGTGGGTGGGTGCATGCAGATGGTGGGCTTCCTCCCGTCGGCGGGCGAGGCGGTCATCTGGAGAACTCTGCAGCGGCCTGCCTCCACCTTTGACTTCCACTGGAAAACCTTAGACGTCACGCCTCCGCCAGAGGAGGACCACAAACAGTATGGTGAGCTTTCAGTCTCTAACCCGTCTTTAAAGGCAGTGCACCCATCTCCATGCTGAAGCTCTCTGCATTTCTGTCTCATGAAGCCGGTTTAGACTTCGGGGCGGTGCTGGTCAAACCGGCCCATCACCTTTGTGATGGCAGAGTTCCTCTGGTCGTCTTCATCCATGGTGTGCGGTCTGTTTTTGTTGTTGTTTTGTTCTTAGATCTAGAGATCGACATATAAAAACGGGCTTTATTGTGGTGCACATGATGTGTCCTGTGCTCTTTGCTTCCCCAGGGGGGCCCCACTCTCAGTTCCCCGCTGAGTGGAACTGCACCACGGCGGGGTTGGTTCAGCTCGGCTTTGCTGTGCTTATGGGTGCGACTCCTTTTGTCTCCTGCCTATTGTCTTTTATAGATCTCTTGCTAACCTAATGTCACATTTGTATATACTTTACCGTTCTTGCACTCAATTAAGGAACACATACTAAAAATACCAGAAACTATATGGTTAAATGGAAATAAAAATGCACATGGTCCCAATGTTATTGTCAATGGCCATTTTCCTTTAAAAGTACCAGTTTATGTGCAGGCAAGGGAAGATATGCTTTTCATGTGTGTTTGGGTTATTCTACGTGCTTTTTTCCTTTTAAACTATTGGACTTTCTCCACCTCTCTCTCTCTTTTCCCAGTGAATTACCGGGGATCAACAGGGTTTGGCCAGGACAGCATCTTGTCCTTGATTGGTCAGATCGGGAGTCAGGATGTCAAAGACGTGCAGGTACTGTTTCTTCATCTTATGTTGAGCATTGGATAGAATTAGTTTGCCAACAAATATTAAAGCAAGAGAAATGTGTGAACTACAAAAGAGATCAAACAGTGATGTTTAGTTAGTATAAGTTTGTGGTCTTGAGGTTCTGTCACATTGTAAATGGGGATGGTTTCTTTCCCCAGCGGGCTGTGCTCACTGCACTGCAGAGCGACACGACCCTTGACCCTAAACGGCTGGCAGTGATTGGCGGTTCTCACGGCGGCTTCCTGTCCTGTCATCTACTGGGTCAGTACCCAGAGGTCTACAAGGTGTGTGCCGCCAGGAACCCCGTCATCAACGCTGCTACGCTACTCGGAACCAGCGACATCGTGGACTGGTGAGGAACACGTGGACCCGCAACGCTTCAGAGCGTCACTTCTTGCTGTGAACACTTTTATCTCCCCCTCTCCATCTCCAGGCGATACTCAAGTGCAGGATTTCAGTTCTCTTATGACAACATACCCACTGCGGAGACCCTGGCCTCCATGTTGGAGAAGTCGCCCATCACGCATGCCGCCCAGGTCAGACACGTCCAACCAGAGATAGCGTCTGATAGCCAGAATATTAGACACCACTCACACTTTATCCAGCTTTGTGTGCTCACAGTCCCACCAAGCGTGTCCTGCAGGTTGTGCCCTGCTGAGTGTGTTACTTTTAGACTGACGTGGGGAAAAAGGCCCCATGCCTAAAGCAGGTTGCGGTAACGGCCTGTGTTTTGCGGCCTGCAGATCAGGGCTCCTGTGCTGCTGATGCTGGGTGGCAAAGACAGGCGAGTGTCTCCTCACCAGGGTCTGGAGCTTTACAAAGTGCTGAAGAGCAGAGGTTCCCCTGTCAGGTACGACAATATAAGCAAACATCTCAGCGCCCGTCTGCTTCCAGCAGGTCAAATTAGAAGTGACCGATGTCATTTCATTTCACAGGTTGCTGTGGTTTCCAGAGGATGGGCACTCTCTGTCCAGAGTGGACACGCAGACGGACTGCTTCCTCAACACCGTGCTGTGGCTGCACCAGCACCTCTGAAGCCACGACGGCAGCCACTCGCATCGGGATGAAACTCCTGCCGCTACTGAACATGTCCAGAATGAGACTGAACGGATTTGTGATGACAATTTCAACATTTCTGCACAAAACTGCCTTTCTGATAACAAATACACCTTCTTTGTATTAGAGTACTGCCTATATTTGTAAAGAAAAAGAAAAATCCCAGTGAATACACGTAATAAAGACAATTTAAACAACTGAGTGGTGAAGTGTACATTCAGTCATGTTCCTTCAAATATATTTTTGTAATAACTAAATAAAAAAACATCATGTGCGTCCAGGTCAATTTAGCTTTCAACGACCTGGTTTCACCAACAGGATTCAGATGTAACAGTAAGTTATATAAAAGTGTCCAGCAGATGTCAGTCTCTATCCACTTTAATTGACTTGTATTTCATGCCCTGACAAATTAAACCTTTGAATGAAGGTAGTATCATGATGTGTGCTGTCACAGCTGCTGTATAATCTCTACATAGATGGTCACAAACACAGTAGTTAGAATGACTTTTGAGTTAAAGCCAGCAGCTTTAACCATTGACAGAAATGTTTCGATGGTTTGCTGGCAGTTTTTGACCGGCTTTTGTGCTTTTCACAGAAAGACACATTGAATTAAGTTTTAAATGTTATTTATAGAAGATTTTTATAACTTCTCCATGTAGTCCTGCCATAGTGCGGCTACCCACCTGAAACCTGATACGGAGCCCATAAACGAGGCTGTGGGTCGACTTTCCCGTGGAGCTGCCTGAACAAACACTCTACTGTAACGCTGACCTTTAAGCCAGGGGATATAACCAAGACCCAATAAGCAATCTGTTTGGGTTTCCTGCTATGGTGATCTGCTCACCAGAAGAATATCCACATATTTCCAGCGTTTTCTGAGTTTATTGCACCGTTTAAGTAAAAAAACATTTCTTTCAGCATAAGAAGTGCACTTGGATGGTCGCTGAGATAGCAGAGCTTGTTTGTCAGTTCTTTGGGGGCCTTATTGAGACTTGAAAGTGACCAATTCAATTTGAGATATGACAAGTGGGCACTGAATGACTCCACAGATGCTGATTTTGTGAAATGAAGAGCTCAATGGGAATCACTGGGGTGGCTGATATCTTCTATAAGTCTCACAGTGAGTCCCAGACACTGTGGCGGCATTAATCGTCCTCCACCAACACCCTGCTCCGCAGCCTTGACTTGCAGCTGCTGCCTGATGAAGTCACTGCGATGTGGGTGTTGGGTGAGGTCACCAATTCGGGAGATGGAGGGACGCACGGAGATTGTGCTGATGAGGAAGTGACGAATAAAAGGGAGAGGAGGTAGGCAGAGGCGAGCGTTTGTCAGAGACAATGAGTGATCCAGATAAAAGGAGAGGTTCACGGCGCCCCTCTGTGGTATTCTGGCTTGTGGGCTGGGGCACAGAGATGAGGCATTGTAATAAACCAGAGCCGGGGGAAAGACTAACGCTCGGGCTGGGTGTATGTAGGAGGTAGACAGACAAAGGGAGGAAAGACTGAAAGTGTGTTTTTCTTGATGTAAGCGGACAAAGAGGCCTTTGGTGTTGGCTTGTTCTGGTGTTTCCCCACCCCGGCCGTCTGCAGAGACACTGAATTAACAGGAAGAACACGGCAAAGCAGAGGTGGACGGGAACAAGAACTAAAAATAATTATAAGCAGAGCAGATCCATGTAGGGCTGGCTTGTTAATATCATCATCTTTGGGGAAATTTACTTTTTTACACCAGCAAATGTGGAATTATTGCCCCAGAATAAAACTCTAGAGCTGCTCAGGGAAGAGATAATATTTGATATTCTATTCTTGCTGAAAAGTTAAACACTTTGCTTGAATTGTGGTATTTGAGGCGTCGCAAAAAACATCAGGATTTGGTTCTCCACACGCTTTCAACATGTTTGTGGCGAGCTGGCAGGTGCTGTGGATCAGTTCCCTTGAATAAAAAGAAGAATTTGAGTCTTAAAGTCAGTTTGAGCATCTGCTGGGTTTGTCTTGACAGGAAATACGGGAAGGCAAAGAGCCTGGTTTTTCTTGAGAAGAAACTAAATCTGAATACTGGCACCTTCACAGACCTGTGTGACATGTTGTGTCTTGCCTGTGTGATCCATTAAGGATAACCTAAGAGGTTTATGACCTGTAATGGAGATGTGGAGGTTGAGCTGGGGAATTATAATCAATGCCTGATGCAAGCTCCAATTTGATCTCAATAAGAAAGCTTTAAATTTGAATATTTAAAATCTGGTTCATGTTACTGCTGAAGGACATTGGCAAAGCTTTCCTTTATTTTGGCTCCACAAAGAACAGGATTAGAGCCTAATTTGACTTAAAAAGAAAGCGACCACGGTATTGGAGTCAAAATACGGACAGAATACAGAAAACAGTTGAACTGCAGTTAAATGGAATTAGACGACATTGGAGTTAACAGACTTTTTATTCCACATTTATCTTTTTTTTCTGGCTGTAATTTATTAATTTAATGCTAATTTCCTGTTGAATTTTATCAAAGGTTTTTTTATTTCCGGATGAATACATTTAATTCTCAGCTACAAAGTTTTAACATCTGCATCCCCTTACACTTTTGGTAACTTCCCCCTCTCTAATCCAAACCCTCAAGCAGTGACCTTCAATTGGGGACGCTGGTTGTGTGTCGAGGCATTGCGTGTAACTCGAGGTGTGTGTACGTAAAAATAGTTCTTTTTCGTAGATTGGCCGCACATGCCTCAATAAAATGTGGCCCTTAGCTTTTCATACCTTTTCCACATTGATGTTGTGACACTCGTCACTGAGCGCTCTTCCTGCTTTCAACTCATTTTCTTTGTCTTCTCGCTTTTACTATGAAAAAGCATTCATGTGTGTGTACAGTGTTCTTTCACAAGCCTTTTAAATCCACCCTTTATTGAGGGGCAGCAGCATTTTACCATCTCCCCTTTGGTTTACTCTTTGACTGTTGAAATAGTTTGAACAAAAAAGGGCCCCACAAAAGGCGTGACCTGCTACTCCACCGGTGCCATTTGTCACGTTTCATCTTTTAAAAAAAATTAATGTTATTGTTTATCAATTTATCTGACTTATTTTTCTTATTTACATACTACATTGTCTATGGGTTCTGGGAGGAGCTGTGCATATGGCCGTGATGACCTGTTTTTACAAAAATATGTAAGAGGAAGAATATGGATTTAGTTCTACTTATTTTCAAGTGTAAATAATTATATAAATCAAGTAATATATTCAACCACTAATGGCATGTGATGGTCTGACTGAAATCTACTGTGATGTTCAAGTCCACGGTATCCGTCGAAGCCTGGGAATATTCCCCCCCTCTGCTCTCCTTCAGCTGTGGGAGGCGTCTGAACTTTGTCCCACACAAAGCTCTTTCATCTCTCCTTCTCCAAACATTTGGCTTGTCTCCATCTTCCTTTTGTCACATTTAACTATCTCTCTATACCCATGCTGCTTCTAAGCTACTTTTGTAACAGTGCCACGCAGGATAATAGGGGGCTGGGGGTGATTTTTGTAGCTCTTAACAACACACACCATTGTAGAATAAGGCAAATGCCAAATCTTGGCGCATGGAGGTATATTTAGCCCATTATACGCTGATATATCATAACATTTGTTTACTGTTGTAGTCATTATGAGGTATCGAGTGGGAATGATCTGTCTGATAATCGATAATAAAGAAAAAACAGACACAGGATCTTCATCTGAAAATATTCTGCATCCATTGGTGCAGCCCGATCTTTCATAAAGTGGACACAAAACAAACACCTATAACATTTGCAGGCTTGGCTGACAAATGCCTGTCATGTTATTATCAGAAATATTTGATATCATGCTTCAAACCTCTTATCTTGACCCGGCCAGAGCATGGTTATAGTTCTGACCATGGTATCTGCAGAAAACAGTAAGGAATAAACATGCCAGTTGGCGGCTTTTAGGTCACTGAAGATTCCTACATCCAGTGATCACAGTCATAACGACCGTCAGCTGCACTTCTGATACTTTCATTGTCTTTTATGTAGAATCATAAATGTTTTCTTTGCTCATGAGTGTGTTTACATGTTTAATTCTACTTTCTTTGGCCAACTGTTAAAGCTACTGAAAGCCACTAAACCAGATTTGTCAGGTGCCATTTTGTTCAGTCTTGCACCTCCTGATTTTATAACCTGGTTTGTGTTGCTTGAACGATGTCTGAAAAACAGGAAGAGCTGCAGGGAAGAGTGTGAACGAGTCCGTCCCTACAGGCATGTTGATAACCAGTGAAAACCCGAGTCCCAGATGTCCCAGATCCTGTTTGGGGCGTCCATGGACAGGGTTTTGAGGTACATTTGGTGAGTTGATAGTGTGGGATAGGGCTGGACCTAAACCTCAAAGTTGCGACTCTGCTTTTTTGCAAATGATGTGGTTCTGTTGGCCCCTCCAAGCCAGGACCACTGGAGTGGTTTGCAATGAAGTGTGAAACAGCGATGTGAAAGTCAGCCCCTCCAACCATGAGGACACATTTATTAGCTAAAGTTAAAGGTGAATTATTCACACTGGGCTAGAGATGAGTCTCTGTTCCAATCAGAAGAGTTTTGGTATCTCAGATTTCTCGTTGACGGGCTGGGATAAATCGGCCGGATGGATTGGGGCTTTGTCAGGAGTAATGAGGGCTTTTGCTCTGGTCCGTTGTTGTGAAGAGGGAGCGGAGCCAAAAGATTAAGCTTTTGATTTCCCGGGCCCACTTTTTGGTTGAATCCTCACCTGTGGTCATGAGATTTGGGTATCTTTGGCAAGAAGGAGATGGTAAAGGCGAGCAGCTGAACGTAGTCCTCTGTGGTGGGTGGCCGGGCTCGGCATCTGTGCGGAGAGTTCCGAGCAGAACCGCTGCTGCTCTGCAACAAAGCCGGTCAGCTGAGGAGGTTTGGGTTCGCAATTAGTACGCCTCCTGATCACCTCCCTTTGACGGGTTTTTGGGGCACATCCAACATGGAGGAGGGGCAGACCCAGCACACTGTAGAAAGATTATGTATCCCTTCAGGCCTGGGAACACCTCAAGATCCCTCAGGAAAGACCGGAGAGTGTCACTGGGGAAAAGAGATCTCTGTGTCTCGATGTGAGGCCTACTGCCCACCCAACCTGAGAAAACGGGAGGTCAATTGATGTCTGGATGAAATGTAATGCCTAAGGGTTATTTATGTGTCGGATACAATATGTCT